TCAGTCTCAGGCGGCCCCAGGCCCAAGCATCATCGGCATCAGCGCGCAAGCATCATTAGCATCAGCCGGCCCTTGTCCGAACATCATCGTCCAGCGCGACCGGATGCTCAAAGTCCAACTGAAACAGCTCGCGGTATGCCCATCTCTCGAACGGGGCCAAAGCATCGTTGGCAAAAGCAAGCCCGCTTTACTTTGAGCGACATGTTGGCAGGAAGCTGCCGAAAGCAGAATGCACTGGCTCCTTGCCAACTTGGTACACGAGGTGCAGCACGGTGGTGTCCTTGAAGATGTGCTGTTACGGGAATCTCACTGCCGACTGCTACCTCACGATAGATGTGACTGATGTGACTGGGCCCGGAGCTGGCTCAGCGTGGTCTTTGTAAAGTGACTGCCACTCCTCCTGGATAGTGTCCTGCAAGCAGAGAGGCCAACTTGGACAAGAAAGAGAGCAGTCCCAGGAGATAAGTTGCGAGAAGGTCGCTTGGAGACACGAAGCGGGACCGAAACGCACGTGGGCATCCATACCGTTCCGAACTCCTACTGATGCTCAGCTAGCTGCTGCAAAGTCGGAGGAAGGGTTCGGTTGTGCTTTCAAGTTCAAGCATAAAGAGTTTGCAAACGTTCGAATTTAGACCGTCGAGGTCGCTAAGCATCAGAAGCAACAGCCCGCACTCATACGAGAGTCCACATGCGGATGAAACTTGACATCGACAAGCAATTGTGCCTCCCGCTTCACAAGAAGACCCTTTCCACGTCGTGGTCGCCCGACATTGACTCGAACTACCTTCGAGAGGTTTCTACCGGCAGCTTGTGGCAGTGCTGCTATCGTCCGGGCCTGCCCCATACCGTTCAAGATGATGCATGGCACCATTCCCTCCTGAATGAGCCACCGAAGCAGCATGCAGCAGTCGCATGCTGTCGCAGAGGTCTCTGGGACACCGGCATCAACTTCTCTTCGAATGGCTCCCACTCTGAACCTGGGCCCCGCACAGTCCGCGAGTCATGAACCGACTGCACCTGTCGCTCAAGCTCAGACCCATCGACGACGATGAACATGGCTCGTTTAGCCTGCGCATGCCAGGGTTTGCATCAAGATCTTGCAGAGTTCCTCTGGTCACTCCTCGTCGGAGTAGTCGATCTCTACACCGACGGTGCTACCCTTCCTGGACACAGACTAGATGCGAGTGCCGCAGACTTCGACACTGACTCGAGATGGGGTCCCTGCTTGAAACCGCCGAACTTGTCTTCTATGCGATGCCCACCTGAAATCGAAAGTCGATAGCCAGGACTCACACCATCTTAGCTGCAGCGGTGTCGCTGATGTAGAGGTGACCAAACTCATCGCAGCCGAAGAACCCCTGAAGGGACACGTGCAATCGGATTGGCCCCAAGAGCGCACGACAAGCCTCAGCAGCTTGGGCACGTCTGTCACCCGTGAGCCGGTTATCCTGGCCCAGGTTGACGTTCCACAAGGTAACAAGCCTGATTCTGCAACAGGACACCGTTCCTCGCCCACATACTTGGAGGAAATGGCGCCCACGTAGATGGGTGCCAGCAAAGCATCCTCTCCCTGCCCAAGCTACCGAATGAACAGCAATCAACACGAACAACCTCCGAATGCTCAAGGAGGGTCCTTAGCCTGAACAGCCGTCGTTTTCAGCTTCACCCAGGCCCACGTGCTCCGAGCCTCGTTCTCATCCTCCTCGCCCGTTTTACAAACAGACTTGATGTAAAAGTCGACGTTCACTACCTGCAAGAGTCACGTTCCTCCTCCTCCTCCTCAAGCGTGTACTGGAGCCTTGCCATCGATCAGCGCCATGCTCGACTGGGACAGCCGGACCACAACACCGCTGGCCTGGCAGAGACGTCTCAGAAGATGCGTTACTCCACTACGTCTGCTCAGCTTTCTGCATTCACGTCCTGGCCTGATGCTTGTCGGTGTACTCGATAGTCCGCGAATCTTGCGGCTGCTTTTCGACAGTCTTGCGGTCTCCCAGGTCCTGCAGCTGTGCATGCGAGTCGCAAGCGAACCTTCCTGACAGCAGTGCGAGAGGTGAGGCTGCTGCATCTTCGCTCCATTCGATGCTGTCGGCAAAGCCAATCCTGTGCTCCACAGAGTCTTCTGGGGTCGACGAGCGTACCAAATCGGAGAACGAGTTTTCTCGTGCGTATTGAATTGTCAACGAGGGTCGTGTACACCTCCATGTTCGAGTCTCTGACGTAGTCCATCACATCCTGCACTCAGCTGCGTGGACACCACCAAGCTTCAGAACAGCGGGCCCCTGCTGGGCCTCGAAATCCTTGCCCACTTTGTGCACCAAGTCCAGCTGGCGGTTGGCCTCCTGTACCTGCCCGTCATGACACTTTTAGGCATCCTTCAGCTGTTCAGATGCTTTGCCATTTCCATCAAATTCGACTTGAAGGGCTTGCCCAGGGTTCCAGCGCTTCGAACTTGGGCTCATCGCCAACCTTCAGCAATGGTTGGGACTGATTTTCGCAGTCTTTGTGCATGGCATAGAGGTTGCGACATAAAGGAGCTGTAGACGCTGAATCGTCTCCAGGAAGTCCTGCTCAGATACCGATCCGTTTTTTCAGAGCTCACTCATGTCTTAACTTGTGGGACCACTGTGCACTGGGACACGTCACAGTTGTCACACTTGCGGTTTGTTTGCGGTCTGCTTGCACCAACCCCCACTTTCAGCCCCAAACGTCTTTCCAGTTGCACGTGCGCAAACATGCTCCCTGTTTGCCAGGCTTTGGAGATTCCTTCGGCATTGCTCCACATGCGTTTGAAGCTAAAGGTGTCCCACCGCTGGAAGCAGCTTGAACTTATCCGCATGCTGCTGGCAAGGCGTGTACGCACCACTGCATGACTGTGCTTTACAGGGTGGCGGGACCTTCCGACGCCTGCAGAGACGCGAAAGCAGCATGACCTCAGCGATGCTCTTTTTGGCTGATTCTTCAAAGCACGTGCAAAGACAGCGAAAGTCTGCTTGAAACCCGGCTGTTGAGTAGCAGGCTGCCGCAATCGCCAGAGCAGAGTCATTCATGGCCATGAAGTCCAGCAGCACTTGGACGAAGGAGGAGAGCGCCTGCGAAGTTCTTAAGGCCAGCGGCCAGCGCAGGCGCAGCTGCACACGGCGTGAGCAATCCTGTCTGCAGGCCCGGTCTCCCGAATCCGGTGGCTGCCACGGCAATGCAACCTCAGGGGTCGTAGAAGCCACGGGCTAGCACTAGGGTCGTACTCCTCAGATGTCAACACTGCTATGGTCGATATGGTACCCGATTCAGGCGAAGCCGTCTTCCACGGCGTGGTGCTATCATTCGGATCCGGATGGAACGAAGCGCGTTGGCTTCAGCATGCACCATCAACTGTCGTTTAGAGTCCCTCCTTGCGTGTACTATGATGCGACATGAAAGACAGGCTGCTGTTCAGCAGATTACTGCGCTCTGCTTGCAAACGCTCAGTTTTGTACGCCTCAAGTGGCCAGAGACTGTTGCCATCGTTGTTGCACCTACAATATTTGAATCATGTAGCATTTGTGTTGCTCTCAGCATTTAGCGGTGCTCAGCTCAAAAGCGCAAAACGTGCTCGCACTCTTTTGTGGAGACTCCGGTTACCATGATGGGGGAGTCTGCCATGCGGTCAAGAAGCTCGTGAGCGTCTGACGAGGGTGCGGACATCCAGCAAGGTATTAGTTTTGTGTCAGCGCACGCATTGTCGTAGTTTTAGCCCCTGCATCATCGGCTCTTCACATTTATAATAGCAGGTAGTAACACGAAGTCTCCGATCACCTCTTGCCTTCGTGCGAAGCATCGGCACGACTTTTGCTTATGGCCCTGTTCCCATGATGGGGTACAAAGGCTCGTTTCCGATGCTGGTCTGCCCTCCTCTGTAACACGTAGATTCAAGCAGGTCTGTGACAGGGCCAGGCTTAGGTCAGGACTTGCGCCAAATCCGAAACGATCACTACATAGCTCGGCACCTGCCCAGCAAGGCATGACGACATCGATAGCACCACGCTGCAATGCTAATGAGCTCATCAGAAGACGATGCATGTGAAACCGGCTCCGAGCCTCCTCAATAGCTTCCACAGAAATGTGCTTACCGCGGTTGGCCTGGTGGCGAAGAGTAGCCAAAGGTCCGTGCAATGTCCCAGCTCCATGGCCTCGAGGCTGTTGCTCTGCAGGTGTGGAGGACGTTGAATGCCAAGAGCCATGTCTTTGACCTTACAACTGCAAGCATCCTGACGTCGAAGTACCCAAAGCACCAGGTTATCCCTAACAGCCACAACTACTCTTGGACACATGCAGACTGAGGCAGAAATTCGCGGAAGGTCTCCCTGGCTCGCGATTTACGGATGAGCTGCTCAGCAGAAAAAATGAATGTCTTGCATGTTCTCACATATCGTGGCGGCTCCACATGAATGATGTGACATGGGTGTTGACGCAGAGAGAGCAGCACATGTTCAGCAGGCGGCAAAGGTCTTTCAGCGCCTGGGTCACGAGTGGATTCTCCGCTGTCATTAACTGTTGCAGGCCAAGGGCCGTGCCGCCAGGTACAAGTCTGTGGCCAGGCTCTTGTGCACCTGGCATCCGTGAGTCATTCGATCCATCTTCCAGCATGTCTCATTGTCTGCCATGCCATCAAGGCGCTTGGAGCAACCGGTGCATGGCGCTGAACAGTTCCGTCACCCATCGAATCTGGTAGCTTTGCACACTACCGTCGTCCTGCACTTCGCGAATTGTTGTGGAAACCGCTGCATCTCCCTGCAGGGGTCATGCTTTGAAGCAGTCCCTGTCGTCGTCGTTGATCTGGAGACCCCTGTCCAATCGCTCCTGCCTTAGCCAACAGGACACAGGTAACTCGTAAACACTGCAGCTCTTGGATCCCGTACCTTTCCTGCCGCCGTTGCTCCGCCTCCATGCGAAAGCGCTCGAAGTAGCCCAAACCTGGCACATGGTTGATCCCGGAGCAAGGGTGTGTCAGGCGATCATGTCTGAGCACGAGATGCTATGAGCCTATCAGCTTGGAAAGCAGCATGCTGAGCACCTGTTGCCACATGAAGTCGCTGCAAGATGAGCGAAACAAAACCTCATCAGCACCACATAGACCCTGAGTCCCAAACGCTCACCAGATGACCCATGCAATCCGAAAAGTCCGTGCGTGGTGGCGGCCTCGCACGGAACATTGGCGGTGCAGGGGTACTGGAACCCTCGCTGGCGATCACGCATGTGGCCAGGTATTGTTCCTTTCTCCTCATCCTGGTGTCTTTGGGACTTCAATCAATGAACATCAAACCATACCACACCGGATCCCCGCAAGAGATGCTGCCATTACTTTGGAAAGTCCAAGTGCGAGCTCAAGAGGTTGCCAATGTCTGTCCCTTCATGTCTCTGGACTCTCTTCTGCAAGTATAGTTTCATGAGGCAATGTGCTGTGCTATGGTGACTGCCATGTTTCCATGTTTTAGAAACAGCTCCGGGGCTCGGGCAGCCCTGGGCTGGCCATGTCGCGACACAGCTCCGCCAGCGAGGCGAACTGCCATGAGCACATGTGGCCTCAGCACTCGGGAGCATGCGGGCTCTTCCACTTTGGGCCGTGCCAGGGCTCTGGCAAAGCCTTTGGAGGTCCATGGGTCTTGGTGAAGCATTCGAAAGAAAGGGTGGGACTCACCAGGCGACATGTCATTTCCGCTGCTGGCCGAGCACACTACGTCAGCGGTGCTGATCCGCCGCCGGGAAGCTCTTCGAAAGCGCTGTCCTGAGTCTGCCAGTTGCAGGCATCTGATCGAGTTCGAGCAGACGAGAACTGCTGACAGCCATGCCCCTTGCATCATCATCTGCCCTGGTCCCATCCAAGTACACCTGCCGTGCTGTCCATATGGCACCAAGAGTGAAACTTTTGCCAATAAAATTACATCCTTGCCGGCCTGTGTGATAACGGAGCTTCGGACGGATTCATCGGCGAAGGGGGGCTGACCTGGCCAAGATCGGGCCTGTGCTCCTGACCTCTTATTGCCTCTCGAAAAACCGAGTTCTGGACCAAGGAAGGCATGCAGAAGCAAGGCTGTGTGGGAGGACAGCCTGCATGAAACGGCTGTGCTTTGTCGACAAGTGTTGCATGGCAATATGTTCGACATGCCGGGCAGACGCTGCAAGATCACTCAAATCCGCAGCATCCCGGCTCTCGTTGATCTGACCTGCAGATTTCAGAAGGATAAGACTGCCTCCCAAGATCTGACTTCAGCGCAGACCGACCTTGCTGACGTCGTCGCTCTGCAAGGTGCGATGGGCAAAAGACCAGGCCAGCATTTCGCAACACCTCCATGACTTCGGGCTCTGATCGATGGAGCATTATGACGCGACGAGTGCACAGGCTAAGCTTTAGAACACTATCAAGACTAGCGGAAGTAGTAGAGCCGACAAACTTCCCAGCACCTCTCGTTGGATCAGTTGGCCACGCACAACACTTGGTGGAATAACTCCCTGCAGCGACCCAAGCTGGTATAATCTTGGAGGAAGCCATCTTCGGACAGCAGCGAGCAGTCCTGCAGGAGCTGTGAGTTGTCCATATTGCGATCGGCTGTCAGGTGGGCGAGCAGATTCACGAGCGCCTCAGAATTGCGAGGCGGCCTTGCCTCCAGGGCAGCAGTGCGGCAGCAGGGCAACAGAACTTGAGGGCAAGGCGAAGTATAGAAAGCGGCATGGCTGGATCATCTGGTTCGGCTGGTGAAACTCCAAGTCCTTGTTCCCGGTCCAGTCTCAAGCAAACCACTGCAATGGATACTTATGCTTTAATTGGGGCCCTGCATCCCGGAAGTAGCCGCGCCCCTCATAGCGAGGTGGCTGCGCCCGCTGCTGCATCCACAGAACCCTCCTGGCATGCACAATGCAAAGCACTTCTCTAATTCTGCTCGTCGCTCAGCATCCACAAGTCACATCAACGTGTTCTCGATTGTGTGGTGCGGACCGTCTCGCTGCAAGGGCTTTGTGGCACTTCCAAGTTTTCACTTCCCACATGCCTGCAGTGGCTTTGTTCGTTTCGGCAGAGTCTCGGTCAAAGGTGGCTTCTGGTGTTCAGTGCGGCATTGCTGTCCGGACCGTCCGTGTCACATTGTGCTCTGGGATCTATTATGGCTTAGATGATCTGGTATGCTTCACGCTGCAGATCTTATGCTCCTGCAAATTTGTTTAGACGGCTGGGTTCTGCAGGGCGACGGAACGTTGTGTATGTTGGTGCTTGGTAGTCTGCGCTGGCGGATGCGTCTCGAAGCATCCTCATGAAACATGCCGGCAGTTCGGCACCATGTTCCGCACCTGCTGTGCCAAGTCCTCCTCGTCTTCGGCTTCAGGCGCTTGTACCTGTGCGAGGGTTTCATTCCACCCCAGTCATGACGCAGCAGATGTAGCCTCCTCCAAAGCACTCTCGAAGTTGTCGAAGAAGATGGAGGTGCCGAGCTTCAGCAGCGTGAACTCATCCTTGCGCCAGGCCAAAGAACACCAAAGGGGGTGCCCTGAGGCCTCGCAGTGCTTGCAAGCCTTCTGGCTCATCAGCTGCCGCAGGCCCTTGCCGCTACCCACAAATCCGGATCTCCTCTCGATCTCTGCCTGAAGTCTGCCACGAGATGTGTAGGTTGGGATGCACGTGCCTTCGGCAGAACCGGAACATGCAAGTTGAGGGCATCACCCGGGCTTGCAAGTGATCATCCACAGTGATACGCGTCTTCGCCTCTCTGGAGCATGCTGTCGCAGCTACGAGCTGCCACCTTTATAAGAACAGGCAAGAAGGCGTGATCATCTTGGTGGCCGGGCCCAAACATTGTCCCAGCACTCGGGTGCGGGTCGGCGTCGGATGCTTATAGCCTACAAGCGAGTGGGTGAGTTTTAGTTCAGAGTGTGTGTGTGTGTGTGCGCGTTGCGGCACAGCGTGCGGCACAAAGTACCACCTTACCTCACTTGTCTGTATCAGCTCCCGGGTAATGAAATCCTGTCGCAATGCAACGAATAGCTGCACTCACTGAGATGACCCCTTTCATGCAGTGTCCTGGATCTCGTTGATGGCGCTGCCGTCAGGGCCTGCCCCGTGTCATCCGCAGCCGTATCGTTACACGGCGCCAGCTCGCTGCGAAAGCAGGCAAGCTTCCGACCAATGCACAGGTCCGTCAACAACTCCAGGATGCGCTGGACAAACTTGACCCAATAGTAGGGGTCCCTGGGCAGCAAAAGCTAACGCTCCCCTGTAGCTGGGTCATTCCACCCCAGGCCCCAGCTTTTGCAGGCTGTCTTTGTTTTGCGCAAACTCCTTGTACTCCTCCTCGCTCACCACAGTCCTCCTGCAGATGTCACATGCATGTTGATGGATGCATATACCACAAGTTCCCCGGTAATGTCGGCCCGGGATTCGGCCAGAGCTTTTTTTTGTCGATTTCCCTGTCTGTTATTGGGTAGAGGAAGAGAATAGTCCTCAGAGGTCTCATGTTGGAGGCAACAGGCTTGCGGAGGGAAATGTAGCATGAAGTGATGACTGAACAACTCTTCAAAATTCAAAGTCGGTTTTTACAGCGCCGGCAGGGGCCAGGTCCCGAAAGCAATGGTGCACATGTCGAACAAGCATGGGGGTGCACCCATGACGAAGAGAATCGCTCAAGCAGCCAGGCTCAGAACACACAAAGGCCTTGTGAAACAAGAGATGAAAGGTGGAGGGCGCCCAGGCGAGGCTCCGAGGAGGAGACAGGAACATTGCAAAGGGTGGCCAGAAAATACGTCTTTCAGGATCACCCACCGCTTGCTTGTGTTCCCAAAGCAATACTTGCACTTGCTGATAGTCGTGCCCAAAGCGTCGTTCAATCGACTGCACACAGCACCACAGTCGAGGAAAAGCTTGTCAGATGTCGTCTGTTGAGTGCATGAGAGTGGTCCATAGAACTGCCCCGGGGTCCAGATGGATGGATGGTCGCACCCTTGTTGTCTGTATCGATGCGTCCTTTTTCAAGGCATAAAGCCCCCTTCACGGCAGCAGCAGCAGCAGCAGCAGCAGTCAGAAGAGCTGATGGCATGGCCACGTCTTTCATGCTGTCGTCAGAGTATTCTGTCCAGTTGAAGCCCAATTTGCCCACCCTGGCCTGCTCGTCGCTCTGAGCGGCAAGGCTCTTAATCTCTACATCCTGGCGTTCAAAGATTATTGTCCTGAAACCCTCGCATCGGCATGACTGTGGTAAGCTGAGTTTACTACTGCCATCGGGACATCAGCTCAACAGGAAGGGTTTTCCATTAGCGCTGCTGCCGTTTTGGCTCAAGCACTACCCGCAGAGCACGTCAAGAGTGTCACTCTGTTGGCATCGCCACGTCAATCGTCCATCCCACGGTTCCTCAACACTGAACCCGGAACTTACGAAGCACCCACGCAAAGGGTTGTCGCACTGTAGTGCTCGACAGACGCATAACCAAAAACTCCAAAACCCCAAGAAGCTCTAACCGCAAGCCCTCGAAAAACCTGAAGCCCTAAAAGCTCAAACCCGCTTGAGCGTCAAGCAATTGAACTGTCTGTGCTTGAATCGGGAACGTGCTTGAATAGTTCAACAATGGCTTGGAAAAAGCTGCGCTTGCCTGCGTGTGAACAGCTTCCACAGAACATCCACGATGACTCTGATTCCTCCCAAGTTCTCCTGCGGCGCATCATGGCGCAAACCAATGCATATGCCTACCGCAGGTTTCCGACTTTTCGTTGCCAGCAGCAGTGGTCTGCAATCAAGTCCTCGGCCGTGCCATTTGTGCATCTCTTTCGGAACTGCTCCAAGACTTGCTGGAACCTTGGCAAGGCCCTGATATCTTGACAGCACAGCAAGTGCCTTTGCCAGGCCCTGGCTGGCCAAGCTTGATCGTGCAGTCTGCCTCCTCCGCAGAGTCTGCTGGCTCGGGCCGTGCCTTTGAGACGGTAAAAAAGAGCGGGGTCTTTCTAACCTTTCAAGCAGCCGGAGCTTGGGACTGGGCAAAGGCCATAGTGAGCAGGTACAGGGTGTGAGCCTCGGGATTGCAGCTCTTGTCCACAGAGCAAGATTGAATAAAGCCCCGAAAAGTCTGGTGAGGGTCCTCGCAACACGCTGGCAGAGGCGGCAGAGGCAAAGACTGAGAGCGTACTCAACAAATCTGTCGTGGTCGCAACCTGTCGCGGCAGTCCATGGGCACACTGAGTGTGCCCAGGGGGAGCTAAACAGTAAGGGACCACACGGCACCGTGTCAGCAGATCATTTAGACCAGACGCGTCTTGACTCTTAATTGCCTCGTTTTGCAGGATGGGTTCCGAAAAGGAAGGGGAGGATCCTACCTAGCGGACCTAGCAGCTGCTTGGGTGTCTCTTAGCTGGGTCCGCGTCAACTCCACGGAGCATCGATGGTCCGTCGAATTGCTCTGATGGACGGCGGCAGCATAACTGAAAGCATTTGTCTTCTGCTGAAGCGACAGCGACAGCTGCAGGGCCTGGCAGCAAGGCACCAGCTCAGGCACCAGGTCCCGTGAAAGGAAGACGTCCTGCCAGCTCCATCGCAGATTGCAGAACGTCTCAGTAGTTCGGATGTCGCCTAATTATCCACTTCTCGACTTCACTGCCGGACTGCAACAGGGAACTAGTACCGTTCGAAGCAGCTTGTCCGGCATCATGATGGCTCGTCTTGCTGCTTCTCGGCGCTCAGGAGTGTTCACCTGCACATCACAACCCAGGCAGCAAGGAAAGGCTCTGTTTGTTTCTTCAGGCACGGCGCTAAGATGGTGATGGCCTCGTACGGCGAGATTGTCAGAAGACCGGCGTTGGCAGCGCTGTTTGTCTTGAAGGGCATGAGCCTTGAGCAAAGACACAGTCAAAACTTCGTGGCCTGACCGATCTTTCGCATGCACCTCATTGGTCTAGGCTCCGGACAGGGGCAAGAACGACTCCAGTTGGATTCTCACCTTGCAATCGATGCAAAGTTCAATGGAAGAGAACGCCGAGCGTCTCTGTTACTGCGACCGTGCATGGCTGAAATGCGTCGAAGAAACGAAGTCTTCGTCAAGTAGCGGCGGGGCCGTCTGCCATATGACGTGATTGCTATGTCTACATTCTGCGCAGCAACGTGGAAAATGCGTTCTCCCTGTCCCAGCCTGGTTGTTCAAACCCTTTGTCACCTTCAGCTGAGGACTGAAAGCAATCCAGAGGCCTTGTTTCCGCTTCTACTACTGGTAGTTTCTTGCGTAACCGCGTAGGGATGTTGAGGAAAGATTCGTTTATTTCCAAGCAAGCTGGAGCCTTGCTGTTAGAGAAAAGACTTGTCCAGGGATTCTCTCAATGGCAAGAGATCAAAATGCCTATGCATGCAATGTTTCTACTCTCTACTGCATCATACAGTCACGACACCAGGACACTAAACCTCAGCATCAAAACTGTGGTTACAGCGCTAGCGTGTCTATGAGCTTGTGAGTAGAAACGCTCCACGATCCTCGGCCCTTCACCTCCGCGATTCCTCAACAGCCGCGGCACGAAACGAAGTTCTTTATCGCATGACGGAGCTCCAAGCTCAGATCTTGACTAGTCTTTCGTCATCTTCCGTCTATTACGGCTAGGTTCTGGCCACGGAAGCAGGAAATCTGGTAGCACCAGTCCATTTTCGTTTTTTGTGACCTTCCGACTGTCTCCGGCATTGCCTACCTGCTCAAGACGAACTTCCTTCTGCATTCAGTGCTTTCTCTGGGCATGCGATGACTCTGACCCTGCATTCTTGAACCTGGCAACCGCAGCTGGGCGGCACACATTATTGGAGGTGGCAGCAGAGACCGCCTGCGAGACTTCTGTGCCTTTGATGCTGCCAGCGACAGACTCCTTAGCAAGGCCGGCAGTTTAACTGCGCAGCAAACGGACGCCGAGACAAGATTCTGAGCCAGTGCAGAATGTTCACACGCCAGTGGCCGTGGTTCTTGAAGTCTTGGCGACTGGCTGGTCGGCTGCGTGCAGAAGTTGCAGCACGTGGTGAAGAGCCATTGAAACCTGGCATCGCATCTTTGCAGATCCCGACGAAATCCGATACACAAGCCACACGCTTTAAGAGTGTCCCGTCTAACATATGCGAAGATGATAATGCAATTGTCAAACCGCGGCCGTCAACTCGTGATACTCACTTCAAACTTATGCGCAAACACAAAGCAAGATGGCGCATTCCCGATCACACGTCCCCCTCAGCGATTGCACATGAGAGGTCTTGTACCTCGCCTAGCAGATCGGATCCCTGCAGAAGGCAGGGCTGGCTCTGCCCCTCTGTCATGTATCCGGATTTTCGAGCGACTTGATTCGAACAAGAGTAGGCATGGCACGACTAAGAGGTGACTTGAGTTTGCTCAGCTTCTCTGAGCTGCCACACTAAGACGTCGGCTTTGGTTTCCAGCCGCAGACGATGTGGCACCGGCTGCTGCATTTCCAAGCGGTGTACCTGGACGTCCAAGGCCACCGAGCCCGTCGGCTGAGTGGACTTTAGAGACTGCTACGGCAGATAATCCCCAGGTGGTGAAAGTGCCTTCCCCCAGGGACGAGGTCGTCAAAGTGAAGTGGCTTGCACCAATGATGTTCTGGTCCTTTCAATCGTACTCTGTCAACATCAGGCTACCAAACGCCCCACAGAAAAACAATCACACGATGGATGCATGGCAGCATCCTGAACCTGATACTCGTAATGCGGCTTGGATATTTCAAGCCTGGGCACATGAGCTCACATGCTAAGCTGAGGCGATCTTATCTTCTTCTGTCTTCAGTCACTACCGGCCCTGATGGAGCAAGCACTCATGCTTGGATACATACAGCTCCACCATAGGACATCAGATTGGACCCGTGACGTGAAGGCCTAATCAGTTCTGAGTCCGCAGCGCACGGGGCCGAGCTGGTTTGGCGCTCTTGGCAAGGCCATAAAAGACCTCTGGTGCAGCTGCGCCTTACTGTGTCCTCAAGCAGGTCCGCAGCCAAGCTCGGGCCTGCAGGTGGGCCACGGCCCGTGTGTCACCTGCAGCCTCAAAGTCCCCGCAAGAGGAGCCAGAGCTCTGCTGAAGCGGCAGGCAAACTGTGCCTTCTCCCGAGCCGCTGCATCTGTTAGCCCCCCGGCTTCCTGCGAGGAAATCTGAAAAAGTCACAATGCATCACAGTGCTACACACCCCTACTGTGAACAAGACTGCAACAGTGAGCACCAGATGTCCCATTGCTGCGACTGCAGCAAAGTTGATCAACTCACATAGCTGTCTGTGTATAGGTCATCCATGCTCAGGCAAGGCATAACACGTATGTTCTTGATGGCATGCTGTTGTAAGCTGAGGGGCCAAACAATGTGGTTGCCTGCAGCATGACGAAGTGAAAGGGTTAGATTTTCCTCAGCATGTTCGACCTCCTCGGTACGACGTTCCCTGCATTGTGTCGAACCGATCGGCAGACAGCTGCCGGGCATGCTGATGTGTAACATGTCAACAGGCTCCTCGATGGCGTCCTCTGCCTTATCGGAGCTGACCCTCTTGTTGCGGTCTTCTTCCTGAAAATCTCCAAAGATACACAAAACTGCTTTTAGCGTGGACCCTCCAACCTGGCCTCGATCTCCATGATGAACGATAGGAAGGCCCAGCCTGCTCGGGCTCTAAAGGGAGCGGCTGAAAGTGTAACTATAGCAGAATTCACTGGGGTCCGGAGCCTTTCTGCTCCTTGAGCTCTTTCATGTCCTGAGATCTCGACACTTCCACTCGTCGAAGAACACTTCTACGCACAGGCATTGCTGAGGTCTCTCCTTCAGAGGCCTTGGAGGCATGTCGGCACCTCCTTTGTCTGTCCAATTCCACACGCGGCGGCGCTTTTGCATGTTCGCGTTCCTGCAGACACTGGCACACATGAGGATGCACCGAGCACGACTTTCCCTGGCCCGGCCCTTGCTTCGCGTTTCGAATCCCATTCTTCTGATCTGGAGACTAGAGTCGCTAGTCCGCATGCACAGGCGCAGTCCTCAATTCGCGCACCTCCTCATACCGCAGGCGCAAGTGGTCGTCCTACATCACGAGACTAGCATGGATGACGCAGCAAATTCCGAGACGCTGATTCTGGACCTTGCCTGCTGCTTTCGTACGATGCGAAAGGAAGCATCGATGGGAAGCACGTCCTTTCCCTGTTCAACCATCCTGATCGTGTCCCAGCTCTCCCTTGCACTCAGATGTCCGGCTCCCCTGAGAGAAGCGCCGCTTCAGGTCCAGGGTGGACTCGGAGGACGACGAGCCTCGGCGTTGGACGAAGAGTCGAAAAGATAACGGGGGTTGTTCTTTATTTTGGTTGCAGCCCGTAACTCGAAAATCGCCTTGCGCTTCGCGATTGCGCGCTCTTGTGCGCACACGGTTTTGAATTGTAAACACATTCCCACCTTGGAGCCTTGATAGACCTTCTGACACTACTTTATCGCCCTTGCGCTCGCCCTTGCGCACGCTTGCGCCGTGCTGGTTTTGGAGTAGGTCCTAAACCTGCATCAAATATTAAAGGTGCGCTGTGGTTGGGCCGCCTGTATTCGCGTTTACCCGTGCGGCTGAAAATCGTGTGGCACTGATGGCTGTGCCAGCAACTGAAAAGATCAAAAAAGGGGATCAACCGCTGCCCATGGCTCAGAGTCCATGATCTCGGACTTGGGCGCTATCTTCAAACACTATTACTGTTGAAGCTGGTGCTGGGGGGGTCGGCCCCCTTGAAAAGGCACCATGCCCGGTTCAACTGCGTTGCTGCTTATCTCTCCGGAGCAAGTTCAATGGCGGGAACAAACCTGCATGGGGACGGCTGAGCAGCAGCAAGGGGCCCTATCTGCACCACTTTTCGGCATTCCGGTTCTAGTATTCAGCCATCTGATGCAGGGTAGATGCTGAGGCCAACGCAGTCCCACTCGATGCGAATCTGTGTGGAGATGCCCTTGTCCATTCGAGACCACACTGAGAACGAGAATGCCTGACGCATACGATCAGTTAGGATCCTGGAGGAAGCAGGACACACTGTGCGAAGGATAAGTCTTGGACTCTTTCGCTCCGGGATGGCAGGAAGAAGTGCTCACGCTTCTCATCGGCTTCAGCCCTTCGCAGAGGACAGGACACAGGGCAGGCCCCGTGCTGGCAGGCTCCGTGTGCTCTGTCTGCGAGCCCGGCCCCGAGTTCTTGAGGTAGGTGAGGATCCGGTAGTCATGGTTCAGCTCCTTGATGTCCTGCATAAGCCAGGCAGGACATCCATGTGCGTCTCTGGGCTGGTCTCCCTTTGGACCTGCTTCTTGGAGTTGATCTTCGGTAGCACGGGGCCGTATGGGTGCAAGGCCTGAGCTGCCGGGGCCTCCCCGGGTGCTTTCATGACGCAGAGCCCTCCGAGAACTACCAAAGCTCGCTGCCGTGTACATCACCTCGAGCACCTCATGTCGAGAAGGCATGCGCCTGCTGCCTGCTGCCTGCCCTGCCCTGTCTTTAGCTTGTCATTGCTGGGGCTGAAGCCCTGGATCGCATTTTGCGGTTGCAGTTCATCGTGATCGCTCGGAGAGATTCCACCTCGATCTTATCCGAGAATCAAGTCAACGCCTGTTGATGCAGACAGCTGTTGGGAACGAAGCCATCAGAGTGATGTCAGGATGCAGATCCGCGAGAAGCGACTGGCCGGCACATGCATTCTTGGTGGTGTCTGAAGCTTGCGGCTAAGCATTTCACTTTCCACATGTTGCGCCACATGCTTGCCCGCAGCCTGGTCGTTGATTCCAATGTCAACCTCCACGTTCCGCAACATATCCTGCGCAGCTTCAACCGATGTTACTCTGCACACGATCTCGTTGAGAGCGATGGCGCACATACAAGTCTCGCAGGCCATCACCCTCGTCAAACGCCAACATCTGGATAAGTGGGATGCAATTCGTTGTTGGAAACCTCGGTGCCATGCAAGACGAGTGAGAAGGACCTGCTGAATGGTTGTCAACAAGGCAGGCACTGGTCCTGCATCAGATTGGACAGACACTGGCAGCAGTTTGAGATAGAACCTGAGCAGCCAAATGCACACCAACATCACTATGATTGCCATCTCTTCAGAATTTAAGCAGTGCGCCGCAAATTTCTCGGAAGAGGCGAGTGCTCGCTGTGTAAGGCAGCAAGCGGTAGACTGGCAGAGCGAAATCGTGTCAAGCGATCACAGCTGTTGAACGCATACGTGCAGTAGCACCTGATTTGTACAGCGTGTTGGTCTGTGGGTTCGTGCAGAAGCCAGGGATGTCGTAGTTGAAGTTGGCTTTCGAGTTGGCAAACCTGGATGACGAAACAGCTGATTAGCATTTTTTGTGTTTCAAGACATGAACATCGCCTTGGCAAGAAGTCTCGGATGACGCTGAGGATCCTCATCATCTTTGGCACGACCTTCTGCTTGGTCAGATGCCAGCAGCGCACAACTCGGCAACAGGCTTTCTCTCCCACAAGCGCACGCCTCCAACTGGATGAGCTGTGAATGCTCCTCCGGGCTGGTAGTGCAGCAGATGTACTTCAAGACCGATGCTGCACCTGACAGAAGCTTCACAAGGCTTTGCAGTAGGAGCTGGCGTTTTGCATCCGCACAAGCATGTTGCTGCACTGGTCACTTAGCCGGGCGCTGAAGCACAGGTTCAAGTCGAAGAAGAGCTCCTGCGCCAAATCCAGGAAGCTTGGAGAATACTTAATCCTGGCGACAAAGGTGGCGTCCCCAGTGTCGCGCGCATCCTCTTGCCCCACTGCCTCGCAGAATTGGACTAGCATGAGGCACGAGAGAACTGTGGATGGGCATGCTTGCCTCCAAGCTCGAGTCCATGGGGCGCAGGACTTGGTGCATCGTGCTTGCCTTGGAGCTTGCTCGCTTTGGTGCCGTACGCCGTATGCATCAGTCAGTGTCAAGACCTTAGGCCCGAACTCCGTGCTTGTCCTTGCCACTGCCGGTGCCCTTGCTCATTACCTGAGTTTGCCGAACCCAAGCAATGTGAACGGCGCATAAGGACTGCCAAAGCTCAGTAGCCCCTTGGGTGAAGGTATCGGTGGAGATGATCGAAAAGCGCATACCTAGCATGCGACAGCCATCCTCGCCCTTGAAAAGCCGTGAGGTACTGGCTTAAAACCCGACCATGTTCTCCGCCTTGTCGAATGATGGTAAAGATCTTCGACTTCTGCTCCTTGCTCGTGTCAGGTCGGGAGAGCAACCTCAGCGCAGACCCAGGAGCTCATGAGGCGGAAGCTCAGACAGCTCATCTAAGCAGGATACTCGAGTAGAGGCCGCACAATCCGCACAGAAGCCTCTCGAGCATCGACCAGAGCTCCCGCGTATCTTTAGCAAGAATGCAAGATTTTAAGAAGACTCTGGTGCCAGCAGTCATGGTAGTGCCAATGGCAATGGAAGTAATTGTAGCGATTTAACAGGGATCCAAGCAACAGCAGTGACAAGAAGAATCTCAGTTAACGCGGTGGTGTCAGTAGAGGAGCAGCCGTACAAGCAGGAGTACCGGCAGCAGCAAAAGCAGGGGTAGCAGCCGCCGCAACAACAGTGGTCGTCGCAGTCGCAGTCGTCACAGTCGTCGCAGTGGTCGTCGTCGTCGTCGTCGTGGTGGTAACAGTAGTAATAGTAGTAGTAATAATAATAGCGGTAGTAGCTGTTGTTGTAGTAGCAGCAGCAGTAGTAGTAGGCAGGCAGGCAGTCAGGCAGCCAGTCAGTCCGTCAGTCGGTCGTTGGTTCATTCACTTGTAGCCGTACACGTGAAACGGTAGCTGCTCCCATACACAAAAAGCGGTTCATTCTCGTAAGAGTGCGACATGGAGCATAGTCCAATTAAGCGATCACTTGCCAGGCCTTCAAGCCATCCTCGGCGAGGCGCGAGTCCGGCTTCAGGTACTTCCAAAGGATGTCTGCCTCGATCATCAAACATTCTATGCTTTCTCAAATGCCTTGAAGACTGTCTGGGCCAGCAACAAAAGCGATCAGAGATCCTGGGACATCTGGCAGTCTGGGATTTGGCTGCGCAGCACAGTTCCCTCCAGCTACATTTGTGCTGACAAGCTGCTCTCGGCGGACTCCGGCTGCTGGAACGTTTGCTCCATGCCTGGTCCATGAGGCAGCTGGGACCCATTCGGCAAATGCATCAGAGCGGCCGATAGCACCAAAACGAAACTGAGAACCCCGGCTCATCAGCGTTTTGTCGATGCTGCCTTACAGGTCAATGGCGTGCCGTTCGACGACACAAAGTACACGCTCTGCTTTCGGGCGAAGGTGCTCTTGGAGAATAACCCGATGTTCTTCGGCATCGTCAGCAACTCCAGAATGGCCTGCTGAGGGACGACAGTGCTGCAACACCAGTTTCACGATGGATCCAACCCAGCCTCGCAAATGGCCTGTGCTGTGTATGAATCCAGAGAGTCCATTAGCTCCTAGGTCAAAACGATGCCAACAACAAAGGCTCCATGTTGCCATGCTGCTCGACAACTTGCCAGCTCGTCAGAAGCAGCCAAGCTACAATGAGCCGCTGTCTGGCATCGGACATGCGTGACAAGCTTGCCTCGGGAGGTTCGGAAGTCGTGCGAAGCACATGAATCTGCTACCGTTACATTCGACCGTGCTTGCCTCTTGCTCATGGCACATTCCCTTGCCAGCCTTCGTCATGGCAACCAGACATAGCGCAAAGAATCGTTGGATTGGCCGTAGCCTGCAGGCGAGGTGAACTAAGTACTCATACTGCATCATGATACGAACGGTCTCTCGTACTTCGGCCCACACTTTTCAGCAACGCGTCCATAGGAACTGGATCCCCGCAAGGCTGCAGCAGCTGCTGCCTTGCCAGAGCATGCAAGGCAGCTCCGCAAATTTGCGGAAACAACACGAGCACCTCGGCATTGTCGTCCTTAGAAGCATCTATGTCCTGATCCACGCGCAAATCTCCACGCTGCTGTCACCCCAGCTGCCACCGTCCTGTCCGCCATTGACAACGGATCCTGATACTCCCCACATCAGCATATCGCAACTTTGAAACTTGAAGCTTTCTTCAAGAACTTGGGATGTGGCCATCGCCGATACCCTCAAGACTCTTCCTGGCGATCCGCGCAGTGCGTGCCCAGCCTTGTCTGAAACACAGTGGAAAACGCGACATGCACTTCCTGGCTTTCTAGCTCTGAGCAGAGCACGCAAGACATCTTCTTGGTACATGACGGTCTTGGACGGGTCTTGCCTCACTTCATCGCCAGGCCATCTACCAATCCATGTGGCACCATTGCGGCTAGCGGCTGCAGGATGACCATCTCTTCAGGCAGGGCCATGCCTCCCGAACGCACCCGATACCTTACAGTGCCTTCCAGTGCCTGATACTTTAGTTCTCCTTCGCCTTCATGTTCATCCTCGCCATCATCATTCATGCAGCTAGGGAATCGATTCCACCCACTGGCCAGACCGACTCGCGAATTGGGAAAACCAGATCTGCAAAAGAAGCCGTTCGTGACATGGATTCTCTGCGCTGAAGATTCCTGCGCTGGAGGGAGGCTTCGTGCACCGAGTCACCGAGGATCAACGCAAGGAAGTGACATATTCTGATTCGACACTGGCCACAACGGATTCGCGCAGGGAAGCTATGAGGCTATGAGGGGCTGTCGCGACATGAAGGAACCAACAAACGAACCAGTAACGAAGGAGCGAAGGGGACAAGCAACGGCCACTGGCCCGACAGTAGAAACATGATCAGGTGGGGGAGGGTTTAGGGATGGGATACGGCGCGGGAAACCCTAAACCGTGAAGCAAAAGCGGGGTTAGCGATGCCAACAAAACCGCAACGCTGCCAGGGGATAAGGCAAAGGAGGCATATGTGGTGAAGCTGCATGTGACCGCGGGCCAAACCAGAAACCATGAACGTAGACGAGTGATAGAGACGTGAACAAGAGATGAAAGGTAGGAAACTCAAAAGCATAGGCGGAGGGCCCCAAACCCAAAAAACCCTACTAAAGGAGACGCCGGGCTGCGAAAAACTAATTAAACCCTAAGCTGTTTGAGCTGAAAACCTGGAAATAATTCGGAGGCTGCGTTTGCGAGTGGCTGCTGGCGCGGATAAGTCGAGAACGAGGAACGGCACGCTGAAAGCCGCAAGGCGAAAAAGTCGAAAAGTTGCATTGGAAACATTCTGTGCGAAAACCAGGAAACTCTAAAATACTATAAGTCTCGAAAAATCAACAACAAGCAGCCACCGGTGGAAACGTGCAGCAACAAGCGACACGTCAACAAAAACAACGCGAAAAGTCGAACCGTACGGCGAAAGCTAAAAGGTTCCTACAGCCAAACCGGTCGAACTATCGAAACCTATCGAGAAAGTGAAACATCCCAGATCACTGCAGAAGGCGAGATCTGAAGAATTTAGGTCTAAGATCCCGAAAAGACGGCCCGAAAACCCAGCCAAAAACATTATGTCTTGGATACTCGTTGGCTGCCTGTGTGAGTTTAACATTCAGCAAAACTCGACACACACACCCAAACCCGAAAAACTAGGCGGAAATGCATGTGTCACATCAAAACTCATGGAAAGTTGCCATTTAGGATCCCCAAACCGAAAAAGGACATACAGGCCAATCGCTTCGTTCGGTCTAGGTGCTTTGAAGATGCCGAATCCCTGAAACTTACGAGTCAAGGGATGCCGTTTCCAGCATGTCCAAGAGGTGGCCCAGTATCAGTGCAAGCTTTTCCTGCGTTTCCCAAGGCCGTTAGCAATCATTAACAGCATCCCAAAACCAAGCGAAAGAAAATGCCCGTGCTTCTGCCACGATTGGGTGCTTTCAAAAAACGAAAATGGAAAGCACATCTTGATATGCAACTGATAAAGGCTCGAACAACTCAATCTATTTTGGCGACATTGTGTTGGAAAAGCCCAAACCTGCCAAACAAGAAATTACAGAAGCATACTTGCAGAGTTCGTCTAACCCGAAAACTCAGCCAACATACCTACGGTACCTATGTTGTGGATACTTATTGGTTGCTAGGGACAATGCTACTACGGCTACTGCCGACTACTGCTCTTACTACTGCTGCCTCTGCCTACTTATCCCTACCCAGCCCTTGGCCTGCCCTTGTCTAGCAGAAAAGCAAAAAAGCCGAAAAGCATTTAGCAACATGCAATACAGTTCGCAAAAGCAAACATCACAACAGTCGAAAAGTAGAAACAACCGACAAGTATGGAACAGTTGGAAAAATGCAGAAACTGCGAAAAGTGTACAATTTGAAGAGCAGAAAAACTGAAAAGTTCTCTATGGCACAAGGCAATGCAAGCAGTGCTGTTTCTTCCGTGGGGGCACGAAACTCCCAGTCTCACAATGTTACACCTTGGTGTACATTGGATACAACCGATGCCAATCGCGGGCAGCTCAAATGATGACAATCGAAAATGAATCCCGATGGTGAGGAAACCCACAACCCACAGGCTACGACGAGTGTCTGGGTGGCCCAATGGACCCAAGGCAGTGAAAACCACCATGAGTACACCCACACCCAAGCATGGAAGACAAGGGTGGGCAAGGTGGGCCGAAGACTGGTGAAGCTGCCGCGGAGGACAGCTTAAGCCAAAGGCTTCGAGAGATGATGCATGCTGTGCCTCAAGAATGGAACGTTCTGGACCCAAACCAACCAGGACATACTACAGAAGGGAATCAAGCCGCGACAAGTTCGAACAGCGCACGCAAAAACAGCACCGAAAAGTTCGACAAGCGCAGCAAAATGCAACACGCCGAAACGTTGAACAAGTTTTGGACTTCCCGGGATCTGATTCAGTTCTCCGCTTATCGAAACCAATACCTACTTGATCCTGCTTGCTGACTTAGCAAGGATGCGGGGGCAGGGGGGCTGGAGATGATGGTGCCAATTACGTGTGTGTGTGTGTGTGTGTGCTTTCATCGCTAGTTCTCAAAACGCACATGCTCCAATCATGCAGTTACATCATCCTCATCATGATCCTCACACACTTTATCAACGGGACGCACTCGAACATGAACGTAGCTACCCGCCAACCCCCCACCCATCCTACGGCGTCACCCTCCCCAAAACACATCGAATAAGTTGAAAAGACTAAAGCAAAACCACGAATCCCTATGTAGCGGGCACGAACTAGCACCACCTCCACTGACGTGCCAAAGTCACAAGGCACAGCAGCTCAGACGACTACAAGAATCATGCAGCATCACCCCTTTCGAGCAGATCCACGTCACACACACACACAAAGAAGCTGCTGTTTAATATACAGGGGTGTACATGTGGGCTTCGGTCTGATGCCAAAATCTTCCGAACTCGTTTCGAACAGTATTTTGCCACCACTGTTCTCTGCACTTCTTCTGATCAGCAGGCAATGAAAAGGGCGTGCCATCATGGATCTATTTCTCAACAAGAAGTATGCAGCCGGTTCATGATTCGAGAACTACACTACAGTACCGACATGTGCAGAGAGGCGACGAAGGCAGACAGCTGAAGCGGTTGCCGAAAGCGAAAGCCTTCTGCGACCTCGTCATTCGCGCCCTCTTCTGTGTCCTGGCTACTGAGGCATCCCAGTCTTCTTGTGCGCTGAATCAGGCCAAGTGGTCTTGTCAAGGCTGGAGTTGGACAGTCACTATGTGGCTTCGCGGATCTTCTGCAGAGTCTGTCCTGCTCTCCTTTCGCCTGCGCCAGCTCCTGCAGCAGCTCTTCTTCAATGTCTTCCACCTGCAGGTGAAGTAGCTGCGCTGCCGCGCTCTGTGCACGGAGCAACAACTCGTGCCTGCTTGAAAATGAACTCCGCAACCTGGGGCTTCGACAGTGGCTGCAGAACCAACCCGTCAGTCAGAGCTCTTCCAGGATCCCGCTGTCTGGCTTCGATTGGGAATGATGGCGAAGGCAGCATTGCCTCGTCTCCGAACTGACTGGCTTTCGCGTGAACAATACTCAGTTCGGGTTACTTGCAATCCGGCTGCAATTCAGCTTCACCTTCTGCTCTGTCATGTCCTTGCAAGCTTGCACGAGCTTCACACATCTTGCTTCGGATGCTGAGTCCCTGCAGAGGCCTTCATAACCATGTTGGTGCAAAGGAGCTTCAGGACGACTCGGGGTGGCTCATCCTGCAGCCTGGCTTCGGGATTCACGGTCTTCACAGGCCCTTCATGGGGGTTTCCGAAAGGGACCCTCATATAGTACCCTAAATATCCCTAAATACTAGGATCCTTAATATAGGGACCCCAAAATAAGGTACCCCCTAATTTTCGGAAACTCCCTCATCGTTCAGAGACAGGCCGCACGAATTGCAGCCGGGCGGCAGCTCCGCATCCTCTTGCTCCACGAACGGCTGGATGGCTCGCCCACCCATGAACTGCACCTGCTGAGCGAGGATGCTTGAGGGAGCAGAAGTCCAGCTGTGCCAAAACCTGCCTGGTAGTAGATGGAGTCTGCAAAGTCTAGGCTCCTTAGACCATCTTCCGGAAGCCGTCTTGAAATACGATGCTCATGACTTGACCTGAATCTTGCTTGGAGTCCTTGTGGCATCCATGCTTAGTTCCTGGCTTGCACAGGATCTTGTCTGCCGTGGTTCCCTCGTAGCGCTGGGTCACCTCCTGAGCACGTTGCTAAGCAGTCCCAACAATCCAAATGCGCGCTGCAAGACAGACTGTGTCGTGTCCTCTCGCATCTCCTGCCAGGGTCGACAGCATGTGACGGGACAGTGTATGAAGCCTCTTGGTATAGAACTTTGCAGTTGCACGGCCTCACCGCGTTTGGGCATCGGCTGGGTGTGGCACATCACCACTACGCAGGGAGGAACCTGCTAAAACATGTGACAAGAAACTGCGTCCATCCTTCTCCGGCTTCTTCGCGACAAGGCCTCGCGACGCTCCACGGGCTGGTCCAGCTCGGACTCGCTGTGCGAGATCCAGATGTAGATCCTGGCTTAGGTGACGGCCGTCGGCGTGGGCACACGGGTTCTGTGCGGTAAGATGGCCGGGCAGACTCGTTGGGGTTCTTGCAAACAGGGTAGAGCTGTTCCTTGTCCGGCTGCCACAGTTTGACCTGCGTTCTCACCTCAGCATCTTCTTAGCATCCACGAGGCTCCTTCAAAGCTCGCAGCCTAGGGTCGCTGCATTCCCAACAAGCGGCGGAAGCGGTATGCACTCCACAGCAATTCCAGGCCTCAATCGACCAGAGAGTTCAAGCAGACGCAAGGTCCAGGTTTTTTTTGTATGTGTGTGTCATGTCAAGCGGGATCGTTTCAACTCCGAGTTGGTTTAAACCCCAATCAAGATAGGCACCTCCGCCGAACCCGGGCTCTGAACAACGCCCAGCTGAGCACCCGGCGCCCCTTGGATCTGCAGCTTTCGAATGCGGCTCACGCCCTGCGCATGCTCTGGCTTCATGGCCTCGGCCCACCCACATCGCAAAACCGGAAGAGATTACGTCAGATGCTACAAGTAATGGGAAGAACAGCAGGTGAGACTCATAGCAATGACCGGGCCACAAATGAGACTCGACCCATAACATAGACCAGAACGACACGCACACCGGCGAGGATGCCACGGACTGGGATCAGCCGAGACACGAATGAGAGTCGATCGGGAAGACGATCAACAGACCGACCACGACACCGACCAAAACGACAAAGTCACTGAAATGAACACGACTGGACACAGACCGGGACCCGACGGAGACACCAGCGGAACACGACCAAGACACCTTCGCTTGACACGAATGAGACTCGACCGGGACCATAATCAAAGACATAATCACCGGGGACGGGACATCTGGACACGACGGCCGGCACACCACTGGACACGAGGGGGCACGAATGGCTCGACCGACCGGGACAACGACGAAAACACCAACCAAAACGACACGGACACTGACGCGGACACGACCGCTGGGACGCCGAGCTGATAGCGACACCCGACGTGACCGCGACACGAGTGAGAGTCGACCAGGACAACGACCAAGACCTCGATCAAAAAACTTATCAGAACTCCGACCGATGAGGACGCCGGCCAGCACACCGCCCGCAACACCGACCTCGACACGACCTTTAAGTGGGCAGCATCTGCCAGCGCGGGGGCCAGCAGAGGGCGTGTCTCCTCCAATCTCCATTCTGATTTGAGAAAATGTTTGGCAACATGAGCTTCAGACATCGTCCTGCATGGATTTCACACAGGACAAGCACCCGTAAAGGATCTTGCCGATGTAGAAGCGCTCTTCTGCGGAGATTTCATCCTGACGCATCGGAGCATCGGCACCGCGTTGCAGAGTTGATGGAATCCGCGGCAGGATCGGCCTCTGAGTAGGAAGTCACTGTCTCCATGAGGCGAGTCTGGTCACATTGCTTCAGCCTGATGGCCAAATAGCAGGGCTTGCAGACCGGTCTCCACAGGCATGCATCCTGAGGTTAAGGCACAAAGCCCAACAATGTCTCGTAGAGGCCCCGCACTCGCCGGTCACCTTGCTGCATGACCTCGGCCAAGAGGCTTCAACAATGTGGCAGACAACTGTGCGGCTTTTGCAGATCTCATCTGCCAGGGTCTAGGGTCAAGACCATCTCCATGAGGCGCTTGAAGTGGTGAGACCTGAGATCCACCGAGCAGGCACGATCGAAGGAGCGTGTTTCTTCAGCTCTGAGAGGGCGTCTGGCACATGTCTTCGGCCCATGTCCTGGAGCCGCAGTCGTTCAGAGATCAGCCGTAGCAGAAGTTGACAGAAGAGCGCCTTCGAATCTCGCTCGTTGATCGAGAAACCAACCGAATCAGCAGCTCTAGGGTTCTTGTCCTCGTGTACAACAAGCTCATGTGCATCAGCTGTCAAATCCGGCGAGGTCCCGGCACTGTGAGGCTCTGCGAACATGAAAGATACATGAAGAAGGTCTCCACAGCATTTGCCTCGTGCAGATTTCGATGCCACGCACATTTGGAAATGGCAAGCACACTCGGACTTTCAAGGATCTGGCCCAAGAAGTTCTACAAGGGGTCAGAACTCGCTCTCTCATCCGTCCTTCCTGCCGGCCGGCCTGCCTTCCTTCCTTCCTTCCGATGCGTTTCTCGCTCCCCCTTCGTGCCTTGGGCCCCGTTGCTCCTCCTTCTCTCGTTGGTTCCCTTGCTCTTTCATTGTTTATTTTTGTGTCTGTGTTCTCCTGCAAACAAACGAACAAACGATCAAGCAAGCAAGCAAGCAAGCAAGCAAGCAAGCAAGCAAGCAAGCAAGCAAGCAAGCAAGCAAGCAAGCAAGCAAGTGTATACACGGCTATACATACATGCATGCATGCATGCATACATACATGCATGCATACGTTCATACACGCATACGTACGTACATACATACATACATACATACATACATACATACATACATGCATACATACATACATACATACATACATACATACAAACATATTTATATATATATATATATGTCATATACGTATACAGACTATACGATCATACGTGTATGCACGTAGAAACAGGACAAACTCATACTTGTACAGACACCTCTCCACCGACGCGACAATGCATGCATGCATGCATGCATTGATATGTACATACATGTAAGATAAAATACGAACACGCTTTCATAGTTCCTGCCTTGCTTACTTGCCGTCTTACCTACTTAGCTGCTTGCTTACCTAGCCTACTTACATAATCACTTCTTTACTTACTTGTTGCATTATTTCTTTACATCCCTACACACTTAACTGTCTATTTACTTGCTCACGGAAGAATGCATGCTTTATTGCTCCGTGCTTTTGTATTCTCCCTGCATCTTGGCTCCGTGAGTTGTATCTTTGTGCTTGTATTCTTTGTGCTCTCTACATGCTGTCCCGCCTGCTCGGCCTACGAAGCCTACGGACACGGCCACAAACACAAACACACATCGAGAAAAAAAGCACTCTCAAAGCACCTCGTGTGTTTGCTCCGTGCGTGCGAGCGCCTCGGTCAGTTGCTTAACTTTCCGCCTGCATAGTCACGACGAGCAGGTGCAGGGAGCAAAAACAACCCCTTGCACGCTTCGTGTTCGGAACCATCACTGGCTCACTCACTCTCTTACTCACTGGCTTCGCCTGCACTGTAGTACCGAGCGAAGAAAGAAAGCCGCAGAAAAAGCAACTGATAAATTTTGGTTTTCCATGAGCTTGCATTCGAAACGAGCGGTCTATCTACGAATACATGTAGATCGCACACACACAGACACACACACCGCACACACACACACTGTCACACACATGTGCATTATGTAGGTTGTTATTCATTTCAATTATGTGCACATGTATGTGTATATATGTATGTATGTGTATATATATATATATATGTTACTGGTATCTTGATCTATTGATGTAAGACATGACATAATATGGCACGATGCGATATGATATGACATGGTCTGACATGATGCGATATTATCTGGGATGACCTCGGAGCGAATGCCTTCGGCAGACTTGCAAGCTGAAGGCCTTGGGATCGGCCATGAGTTCCACGTTGCGGCGGATTTCGACCGAGGTCCTCGGATAGCATCGGCAGCCTCAAAAGAGTCTAACAGGCTGTACAGATATATATATATATATATTATATTATATTATATGTATATATATATATACGGCTAAGATAAGCAATCGGCATCAGCCGCTGTGTGACATGAGGAGCTCGGTCTTCCAGTCGTGCCTTGCATTCTCGATCAGTCTGAAGTTGAAGCGGGTTTGAGACTTCGAAGGCCATGGAATCTGAATCGGAGCATCGCACCTTGTCTACGACTTGGTCCACCTCGACAGCCACAATTGCAGAAGGCGTCTGAAGAACATCCAGACACAGACACAGACACACCACAAATCGCTCCTGCACACTCCAGACTTTGCCATGCAATCTCGAGAGCCAAGGCGCTGGATCGATAGGTGGGGCGATCAGGTTCTTAATCAGCTCCAGCCGGATGCTGTCCTGGAAGCCCAATGGTACATGGAGCTATCTATTCACGACCCAAAACATCGCCAAGCACACCAAAAACCGACACTTACTCGAACGCAACTCTCTTGCAGACGCAATGGTAACACTGCTGCACGCCAGAACTCACGGACACATTCCTGCGCATTCTAGAGCCAAGTCATGGGTCCTCGACACCTTTTTCGCCGAGAGGGGGCTCCCAGTTCAGAATATTCGTGACCTGCTCTGGGAGCACAGAGCCATGAACCGCACGAACCTCGGATGGCCGAGCATCAGGGCCAGCTCCGCCGCAGCAGCAAACGTCGAGGCCTTCGGGCATGGCGCAGGCTGCAAGTTAGACTGGGAGCTAGGATTAGGGCCGGGGGACTCTTGGGGATATAGACCCTCTCAATAAGGTCCCCTCTGAGGGGTACCCCTAATAATACTACCTATAGACTTCTCCTCAGTCTTGCACAGGCCTCCTGGCAAGTTTGGAGCAGCCTGTAGACTGCCTGGCCGTTGACATCCCCCCCCCCCCACACGTGTGCTTCTTCATCTAGTTTCAGGCGCACACTGTTAGGAACCTAATCGCAAGAACTACATCAAGACGAACCAAAAAAAGTCCAATCAAAGTTGCAATGAAAACATCCGGCACAACCAAGCCCCCATGTACTCCCTCATCTCCCCGCGCACGATTTGCTACATGACTTAAGCTCAGAGCATTTGGCAGTTAACTGCGACGCAGAAGAAACCGAAGCAAAGCGAGCCGCATGCAACAACATGGTAGTAGAAACGCTGCAGGCGAACTCAACTCCTTCAATCTTGCCCAACGCCAGCCCTTAAGAGAATCACCATGCTCCGTGTTGGCCACAGGATGAGCTTCGCAAAATCTTGAGCTCTGCAACTGTGGAAAGCAAGAACACATCAGTTGCTATCACATGCTGACAGTGCTCGAGATACAGCAGCCAAGCTTTGTGCTATCATCCTCTTCATCGATTCTGCATTCAGCCGAACACCAGAGCAGTGGTCTTTGAATCAATAGAAGGAAACTGCAGGGACTCAGGAAAAACAACAGCAATGACTGTCAAAACATGAACAAACAGAAACGGGCACCCATCGAACAAGTATCCGCACTGAACAAATAGACAAACCCTGCCAAACAAGAAGATTTACAACCAGTTAAGTCACTTTCTCTTGAGACACGGCCTGAGAGCAGTGCCATCAAGTCAACTGCTCGCTTCTGCGTGTGGTTAAGACAAACAGCTGCGAGAACATGACCAAAAGCTACCAGGATTGGTGATCGTTGTCGCTGCTCAAGAACGGTACCCCGACGAATGCCATGCCTCCACTCGGCGTTCTCTTCCGGGTGGTGCCTCAGTGTCGCACGGACGGACGAGGCCGAAACGAGAGCCCCGGAATTGCTTCGGAGCCCGGGGCCGCCATGAGCATCAGCACCACACGGCGCCTATTAGGAGAAGAGAGGGGCTTCCCCAAAGCTCAACAAGCGGCAGATGCCCGGGGCTCCCTGCAGGCCAGCGGTGACGGCGGGGTCGGCCAGGTTCCGGAGAGCGAAGACAGCGCTCCGGCGCTGCGCCTGTCAGCTGCTCGGCCGCTGTGCGGGCGTTCCGGCGCCAAGCGCCGGCCTCGGAGCCGCCGGAGAGCAGCTCGCAGAGCACCTCCACGCCCTGCCGGGCAGCCACCACCTGGAGAGCAGACACTGCCTAAAAAGGCGAGACGATTCAGCACAGGATGCGATGCTACGTGGTTAATGTGGTTATAAGCGCATGTGTCAGCGCAAGCCTGTCGGGTGTCGAAGCTGGCACGCACGGCGACCGGCATGCTCAGTGGATTTGGCAGTAGATCCACACCGCTTCGCCCAAGTTCCTCAGCTTGCAGAACAGCATCCAAAGCCTTGGGACTGTGGTGTCGAGGCGTCCGGCAGATTCATCGAACTCTTCGTGGGTGCTCTTCCAGGCGATGAGCTCCTGCCAGCACGCGGCCCGAAGAGCGCGAGAACTTCTGCGATGTTGGCCCCGCCTCGCGGCGCTTGTTGAAGAGCGCCTCGTTCGGCTCCAGGGACTTGAAGCCGAAGATGTTCACGCCTCAGAAGGACTCGAAGAACCAGGGACTGCCCTGCAGAGCAACCCCGAGCAGCCCACAGTAGATCCATGCGTGGGGGATCTCCCTGGAAGGCTGTGCCATCCCCGTTTCGCGTGCGATCACGCCCCAAGCTAAGAGCAGTGAGAAGAGACACGGAAGCAGGCCGGCCGGGCGCCCTGTCAAACTCCCAGCCCGGGCAGCCGATGCAGAGGTCAGCCGTCCCGTAGGAGCACATCAGCCTGAGTTTTGGGTGTTTCGGACTTTCTGCGCACTCTGGGACTCTGGGGGCTGTTCTGGATCTCGTTCGGAATCTCCTCTGCCCATGTCAGCTCGCCTAGACCCATCGAGTGCGGCAAATGTGCGACGGCGGCTGACACGACGAGGCTGCTACCGTTGACAGCGAGGCTCAGGACGAAGTGGTCCAGGCAGATGCAGAGGTGAGTCCACTTGAAGCCTACAGCTCGATGGCTGGGAGTCCAGCAAGCAATAAGTGCGCAAGACGTAAGCTTCCGGCATTCCATGGGTTTCGTCTTGATCACGAACTGATAGGGTGCCGCATTGTGGGTGAACCTTGGTCGTGCCGAAGGCAGCAAGACTATACTGTCGAAACTTGCGTAATTTGCGCCTCAAGACGAGGGGGTGAAGACCTGGAACGCACGGGCACTCAGGGACGACCGAACGAAGCTGAACTCCGGAGCCTGCGCGGTTTCCCAATGTCCTTGCTGGTAACTCTGGCGGCACACTGGGCAGCTCTATTTAAGGTCCCTTGCTCTAGACGCTGAACAGCATCTGTGGATCTGTGCTACATTAGCGGCACTCCCAGCTCAACCTGAGCTGCAGGCTCTGAAGATGAGATTCCAACGGCCATCTGGATATCACTCGCCTTGATGTGGTACTCTGCAAGGTCCGAACCACGCCCGAGCCCGGGTGCGGTGCCGTGAAACCCTTGTAAACCATCCATGCCACCTGATGCTTGAACAGAGACAGTGGATTCTCCTCAGGCCGAAGGGGCAGAGTGAGAAAACGTGCCTTACCCGGACTGTTGAATTCTTCGTTCAGGTAGGTGTGGAAGCTGAGACCTGCGGTGCGGCTCGCCATGCGCCCAAGTTTCTCGTACTGTGAAGCTCGGACTCCAAGAAGTACTTCCGCGGGCAAACTCGCACTCGGTGAAGAGGACTTCGGAGTCGGGCCTGCCAAAAGACAAAACTTACTTCAAACGATTTCAAACGCATGCCTCTCGGAAGCTGGACAAGTTTGCAGCAGAAGAAGACCCTTCGAACAGTTTAGGATGCTACGGCAGATTTTAAAGGGTTCGCGCGAAGGATGATCGCTTCGATCGATCCGTATAAAGACCCGGAGAGGCGGACTGAAGCTTCGCCGAGTCATAGCTTCAAGAAAAAAGGGGAGTTGCAGAAGAGGGAGCTTCGTTTGTTGACCGCTTTGCGTGCAGTCTGACTTCTGACCTGATGCCTGCAAGTCTCTTTGACAGGCATCGCAAGGCCTCAGGAGCAGAAGCGTGTTGGGCAACGTCCACGTAGCCTAAGTTGGTCATGCCGCCGGAAGAGGTTGACAGCGGCAGCAGGCATTGCAGACACGGCGCCGGAGTGCAAGAGAAGTTCGTCAAGGTCTTGATGATGTACCCGCGATCGTGGCAGGTGACCTTTTCAGATTGACGGTTCTCTGCCGAAGCACGCATGGCAGTGCGATTTCGGCCTGATGCGGATCCACCACAGATCCTGGGGTGTAACCAACTCCGATGCTGTTTGCGGACTCCTGCGAAGCAGGAGGTCTCGTTGTGTCCCAGCTGCCCTGCCCGATCCATCACAGAGTCCTCCGCCGCGAGATCAACAACCTTCTCGACAGCCTTTCATCATGCTGGCAAGCATGCAGACGGAAAACCGACAGCCCACCTGCTGATAATGCACGAAATTGCTGCGGCCCTGTTCGGAAAGGGACAGCCTCGCGCATCCAAGGTGCGAAGGGACACCTCTACTCTGTGAATCGCAGATGCGAGAGCCGGGCCCGTAGTAGAACCTGGAAGCTGCAACGTGCTCGTCCGTCCTGGCATGCTGGCGCGCTGATCGGGAAACAAATCTTGGCAGCAGATGGCCCCTTGCTGGGAAGCATGAGGGTGGGGCATTGACATCCGCTTCGCGGGATCTCGGAGCTCAGCGACGGATGGCCGGCTCAAGAGCACCTCTCGTCAAACTGACTCCCGTGTGCACACTGCAGCTTAGCTATAAGGCCACGGCATTGTACATGAGGGTGAAGATCTCTGCCTCCGAAGTGATGGCTGCGTGCGGCTCATCCTGGACAGAGGGAAAATCTGCGGCGGCCGGCAGCACATCGTGCACTTGCACTCGCACCTCCCCGAGGTGTGCCAGGTAAGACAGCAGCATCAGCACGGCGCTGTCGATCTCCTCCTGCAGCGCCTGTGAGACCGCGAGGGGCGCCGCAAGAGCCAGGAGTCCCATTGCCAACCAAGGAAAGCCCCGGTTGTTCCCACGGTGCCACTGCTTGCAAAGTCCCCCATCAACAACCGAACGTGTTGGTTCCCCAACGCCTGATTCGGGCACTTCAAGCCGGGCACCTTGTCTGCACCCACTAGGCCACCATCCACGGTCCTCATGCGTGGAACCGAGAACTGTGGTCCGTGGCCAAAGCATTTCTGAGGCAGCTGCTTGGAGTGCAGCTTGACAATTTGATGCACGAGGAGCTGCTGATCCATCACCTCAAAGGCATAAATGGCATGACTAGGACTCTTCGGCGGAGCCAGATGTCTCAGATCGAGGCCAGCTGACGCTTCTCCTTCACCTCTTCCAGAGTTGTGGCTTCAAAGCACGGGAGGACCTGACGCTGCAACCATACGGAAGAACACGACGGCTGCCCCACGAGCACCAAGCATACAAGCGATAGCCGAGGTTCTCATCTGTGATTGCCTGCACTCGCTGTGGCCACGTGCAGGGAAGCTTCTCTGGCGGCTTATCATCTGCCTCCGTGGTCTTCTGCAGGGCTTCCCTTAGTAGTGCCAGGTGTAGGGCAGAGGCACTTCCAGTGTGTGCCAGAAGCCCCCAACTCTCACTGCTGCCATGCTCCGCACACCTAAACCGTTGAAGCCTGAAACGGGGCTCTGGCATGCTACCACCCGTTCCCAGCTGCACTGCCTTGGCTTCAAAGGTTGATCGTCAGAATCGTCAGCGCTCCGAGCCGCCGAAGCTCCGTGCAACCGGGCTGCTTCCTTGTCAGCTGACACCTTGTCCAGATCGTAGATAAACCTCGCCACATCCAAGAGCAACACCAGAACTGACAAACTTGTGCAGGTTCCAGCAATTCAGGTAGAAGCTGCCACTCGAAGCTGTCACCCGAAAGCTCAATGTAGGTAGGTGTGGAGGAGCCAACCTGATGCAGCCCGCACCACCAGCTCACATGCCCCCCCGTGTGCTGCGGGACGCCTTCATCTGCACAGTCTTGTTGAACATTGCTGCAAGCTCACCTGCGAGACTTTCGCAGGACAAGACGGGGTGAGGCAGGCTGGCCGGTCCCTGTGCCTTCCACGAAGATCTTGACAGCACCACGCCCTATCGGAATGGGATCCAGTTCGACCTTGGGCTTTCGGTGCTTCAACAGCCGCCAGCAGTCGAAGATCCGGGACATCTTTGCTATTTTCAGCTCCATGTCGACTCAAGTGCAGAAGAATCCCTGAGCCGTGGACACTGAGGCTGGTGGCCATTGGAATATGACAGCGAAACACTCTCGCTGTCGGATGGCGCCTCGCAGTTCGCACTCTGAGGACGGCACGGATGCCTTCGAGCTAATCATCTAAGAATCGAAACTCTTTAGATCCTCTATCTATCTGTCTATCTATCTATAGTATCCATCTATCATTCAACACATACGTGTCGGTGTACGCTGGCATGTACAAGCGAGTCTGTGCATGTGTAGTATCTGTTCCTGCATAGGCGCCATCCACATGATCCTTGTCCGAGTCCCGGGCTGCTACATCCCCACCCAGGTATCCCCGCCCCTGGCCCCCAACCCCCCCTTCCGGGCTTGCATGTAAAGAAGCAGCTCAGTAGATGTGATACAGAGAAATGGACGGCGTAATTTACACCTCACATGTCACACGTCAGATTGCAAAGAGCCCAGCATGAGCTCGGACGAGGTGTGCTGGGACTCCACAAAGCCTTGCGGCACTCGGAGCGGTTCTCTTTTGGAAAGGAACTGACATGAAAAAGCTCCGTGAAGACTCTGATTTCTCGGATGCATCCAAACCGCGCGTCGGACAGTCTTCAAAGGCCACCATTCTGATCCTAGGAAATGGAGCGCCCGCCATACATCGAAACCCAGCCGTCCCATGCAGACCCGAGAGCCACGCAGCGTCCGCAGGATGTTGCGGACCAGGGCCGGGTCTTGGGTCTCCAGGCTCGTGGGCACCCCGGCACCCTGCAGGCTCATGGCCAGGGCCTGGGCCAAGGGGGCCATGAATAATCCATAAGAATACTGTAATAATAATAATAATAATAATAGTAATATACTAATAATAATACTAAATAACAATAATAACAATAACAATAATAATAATAATAGTGTTGGCAAAGTTCCCCCCCTTTTGCGGCTCCGTCCTCTGAGAATTTCGAGAGGTTGGACCGCACCTCAGTGCCGTCGCACGAGGGAGGGAAGCACAAGTACATGGGTGAGGCCGGAGCAATATTCACGGCGCCAGACAATGCTGTGATGATGACCTGCGGCAGTATCACTCGCTTACCCTAAACCCTAACCCCTAACCCCTAAACCCTAAACGGAGCCACCTGCTTGTCCTCTGCAGCCTGAGAGCCGCTAGCGACTACCTGGTAGAAAAAAAGGGGGCGGGGAGCAAAAAAGGAAATCACATCTCGCCTGCTTTGGCTCCTGGCCTGGTTGCGGCTCGGATGGCTTGCAACACGGCCGTACAGCAAAAGAAACTGATGTGCACCGTGCACCAGGCCTTCCCCAGGAAGCTTTGCAGCCAATCCCTTAAGGCGGAGGGTTGAGATGTGTAGATGGATTTAGATGGTTTTACCTTGCTCCCTCATCTCCTTTGCCTCTTTGACAGCTGCCAGCTTGTCCATGGTCTGCGACAGCGTCTCCATCAGCTCTGGAGCATCTTTGGCGGACAGGAGGCTGCCTGAGAACTTGAAAAGCTGCCGTTGGCCTTTCGGTTGGTAGATCAGCAGTCGCCCTCGCACTAAGCTCTTGGCTCCTCAGCCGCATCGTCCGGAAAAGAGCCAGAGCAGCTGCGCGCCTTTCAGATAAACCCCGAGGGCTTACCCTCTGCGAAAAGGACAGCTTGTGTGACCAGTTCCAGCCCAAGCAACCCGGCTTGGGGGATCTGGGCTCGGATGACACATCCCTCCCCAATATTCCGAATTATACCTTTGCTCGGAATGATGGGCCAGGAGAGTTCAACTCCTTGCCGCAGCCACGCGAAGGACCGTTCCGGACTTGCTCGCTCACGCAGTCACTCGGCCCGCAAACCTCCGAACATGCAGGCCTGGCCTTGTTGACCACGTTGCTAAGCGCTGGCTGGTTCTCATGATTTTGGCAGAGACCTCAAGCTCTCACTGCCAGGCTGGGGCTCTGAATCAGGTTTCTTGCAGGATCCCCTGCAGCGCAGCTTGGACTGTTGAAACGGCTCAGGACACGCCAGGCTCCTCGCCGAGCTTGAAAGCGAAATTGTCTCGGCGTCATCCTATGCAAGGCCAGTTGCTAGTTTACACTGCTACAGTCAAAAGACTGCATAAGGAAGGCCCAACAAAAAGCAGCACATATAGATGCCGCCATGACTCCAGCTGTGGCGGATCGCAGACTTCACGTACCAGAAGGGCCTGCCGGAAGCTGAGGTCTCGCACATGACCACTTCAAGATCCCTCCACAATGTCACAGCTGCAAGTCATTGAGATGCAGGCAACATAGCCCTCACGCACCATTTGATCCTTGTGAGCTTGGCAAGATATGGCTCTTCTCGGATTTCAGTTTCCCATAGAAGATACTGCAAGCCTGAGGTCAAGACGTAGGTGTGAGGATACCGCAGCAGAATTTGGACAACCTCAGCACAGTACGCAACTGCAAAAACATGAATCGGAATTTCTGACCACGCACGTTGCATCTTTGGCAGAGCCTCGCGCAAATGTGTTGACGTGGAATAGGAAGGCAGAAAACTGCTTTGTACATGTGCCTTCGAAAAAGTGTCGGTGGCTATGCCATCCACACATCTCCACAGCTTTCTGGCGTCAGATCGAAATCCGGCCGCCGCGACTATCCAATTACATGCGCTCCGGCGGCATCAGAAACTCTCTGCCCGGTCTGTCACTTTGCAACTGCCTGCTACGCAGCGTAACATCGACTGTAACATCGACTGCTCTGTAGTCAGCCACACCGACTGGTTGTGCAGTGTCTCAGGTTGTTTAGGTACATATATATATATATATATGTATGTATGTGCACATATACACTTAAATTCCTACCAGGCTAAGCAGCCGCACATTATGCAGAAACGTGTACTAGTATCAACTTACAGTCATTGCCTTCTTAACGCGCTGCATTGCCGGGCACCAGCAGCGGGAACAAGCAGCTGCACAGCTGAATCCGCAGTGAAAGCTCAGCTCCTCGGATGCAGGCCGCACCCCCGCACAAACCTTCAAGACTCAGGCTTGGCATTCCCAGCATCTAGTACGATCGGGCACCGAACCAGCAGCTCTCGAAATGCTGCCGGTTGCTGAAACTCCTGCCAGCACGAACAGAATCCCCGCAACATGCTTGAGGCTCTCTGCCCAGCTGAGAGGAGCCTCTGGTGCCGTTGCCAAGGAGTCCGCATAGGATGCTGCAGGGTTCCGCAGTGATGCCTTAGGGCTGCCTTGAACGACTGCCCTCAACTCCGTCGGATTCCTTGGTGCAGGCACAAGTCTTGACCCCTCTCTCTCACTCCTACGTCATACGAGCTCACCCGAGCGTCGCAGCGAGTCACTTCATGCCAAGTATCAAGTTCAAGGGCTGGGATGCAAGCCACTTGAGAGACTCTGCGACTTCTAGAGGTCGCGGCACGTCTGGCTTCAGATACTCTGCTCTGTTCACTGCCAACCAGGTCGACCATCCGAAACCCTTTGCCTGGCAGCTCACTCATCTCTTGCGAGCTTGGAAGAATTGTCCGGAAGCTGAATATATGAGTTTTTGCGACCTAACTTCGCCAAGCTGCAAGAAGCGTTTCTGCATCCTCGAGCTCCTCGTGCAAAGGGTGCTTCGAGGCTGTCACAATGCTCTTGTATATTCGACGCATGATCCAGCACAACGTTCAGAGTTTGGACATGGCGATCACACGCAGATTTCCATACAAATAGCAGAATATGTCGTTCGCGCTGTAAAAAGTTCTTCTAATTGATATAGGTATGTACATATACATATATATATATATATGCATACACAATACATACATACAGACAGACATACATACATACATACATGCATACATACATACATACATTATATATATATATACACACACATGTATAGTGTGCATGTACGTAAGTATGCAAACTAGTAAGTAAGTACGTATGTATTCATGTCAATGTATGTATGTCTGATAGGTATGCATGCATGCATGCATGCGGAGGTTTGGAGGCTCCCCTGCTCCCGACCCACTTCAGACACACAATGTGCGAAACATGAGCCGGAGCAGTCCAAGCTGCGCGGAAGCGTGAAAATTAGACCGCGAGCCGGGGACTCGTCACTCGTGCATTGCCCTTAACAACTGATTTATCAGACCAAACGGCCCAGAAACTGCTTCCAGGCCTTCTAAAATTAGCCTAGTTCTTCAAAGACAACTCCGGCAAGCATCGGAAGAGCTAGCGTTCGTGACTACTACCACTACGACGACAGCAACAAACTTAACACTAGCTTCTGCTACTAAAAACTGCTTTACGCACTTCTATTGTGATTAATCTGCAGACTGTCAAAAGATAATTCTGGAAGCTCTCTCTTTTGAAAGAGTGCGTTTCGGATCCGTTCGCAGCCATCCGGCAAAGTGCATCTGAGGTGTGTTCTTTGGATCTGTTTTCGGTGCCTGCACGGTCGGTTCAGAGTCCTTTTGGGTTCGTTTTGGATCAGTGCGGGGTTTCTTGTGGATGCGGTTGGCGATGGCGTGACCCACGCAGAACAAAACCGTAGCCAAAACAAACCCTCCCAGGGCATCAAAATACTCGAGACATGTGCGTCTTCAATCCGTTTTGGGGTCCGTTGGGGTCCAAATCCCACATACCCCCAAACGGATCCAAAACAAGGAGAATATCGAAAGCGCAGCAGAAAAACTTCCATTCCAAACGGACTGCTAACGGACTCCCCGACAGAATCAAAAAGAGCTGCTCTTGCTTTGCAGAACTTCCCAATAGTAGCAGGACAAGATGTTGACAACCGTTCAACCCCACTGTCTACTACTTGCTACCTTCCCCGACTCGCTGCTACCTCCTGCCACTTCGACTACCGACCACGTGCTACCTGCTGCCTGCTACTTGCTACTGGCTACCTACTGCTACGAAAGAACTAAGGCCAGCCACAGCTGGGCCTCGACACCGACTCTGGTTCATCGCGCCCGAGGCTGTTGCACTATGTCGCGAAGGGAAGCCCCAACTAACAACCCTTTTGAATTGAAAGAAGCCCCTCCATGTCGCAGGCAGCCGCAAGGGAAGATGCCGAGCTCATCCTTGCAAGTCATGTGGAGCGGGCTTGCAACATGATGCGGGTTCGCATGCCGAAACAAGATGAACGCCTTGCTGAGTCCTATGTCACACTATGATCTTCACTCTGATTCGGCATTGCTGTTGACGTGCAGGGGCTGGGCTGGTGATGCTGAGGATCGTGGTGATGGTGATGGTGATGGTGATAGTGATGGTGATGGTGATGGTGATGATGATGATGATGGTGGTGATGATGGCCCGTGATGATGAAGGTGATGAAGGTGATGAAGGTGATGAAGGTGAAGAAGATGATGATGGTGATGATGACGAGGATTTTCAGCTCCGTACATGCTAGTGTCATGGGATGTCAGACTTTCTTGCCTGGGCCATAAATCGCAAAACCCTCGCTCGTGGACCAGCGCCTGCAACTCAAGCTACTCTGGCCTCGCCCTCTGTCCCACCGAAGGGCAAGCATGAAAACCCCTTCCTGTGCCAAGGACCTAGCCCAACTGTATGGTGTATCCCGACGAGGAGCCATTCGTCCAGGCAGCCCATCTCTCCAGCTGCTTCCCGGATCGCAGGCAGGATGGACTGCTTGGCTGGCAGAGTTGAAGTGCCTCCGTCAAGGTCTACACACTACAAGTACCAGCCACTTCAGCAAGCTGCGAGATGCCAGACAGCCTGCGGCCGCATTCAATCTGCTCTTGACGAATCGAGGTCTTTGTGCAGATTGCCAGCCCGGGCTAAAGAGAAGGCCTTCTCGCCTAGGCTGCAACACACCAAGAGACCAAGGCATTCAATGAGTCTCTTGCAGCCCACATGCGAATTGAATGCTAGAATTCTTAACTTTCGCACATGCTTGACAAGCTGCCTTGGAAAAGCGAGCAGCCCCCAAACAAGGAGAGCTGCAAGCAAGCTGGAGTTCCGCATAGGTGTCATGTCCGGACAACGTTTTGAGTATGATGCAAGACCAAGTCGGACTGGCTCTTGGTAAAGAAACACTTGACTAATGACTTCGGATCACAACCTTCTCGTAGAACTGGCGGCTCGCATAGGCATGTCTGTTTCAAACAAGCACGACAAAGTCACTTGCTCTAACATGTGGTACCTGGCTCGAGCCTTACGACTGAGGAGCAGTTGCCATACCATAAGCGAGTGAATCTTGTCAGCCGACACTTCTTGGGCAAGCCTAAGCCATTCTGGATCCACGGACATGCACTTTGCTATGCCTGCCAATTCGGTTCACAAGCAGGCCCCCAGCTTGCATGGCCACCTGCTTCTGCTCGAGAGCTTGGGTCACCTCTTGCATCCGGGCACGCTGCAAGGGCATTGCAGTCCTCATACTGCCACCTCATTTCGGCTGCCATGTAGCTGCAGAGCGCCTCAGCTTATGGAATGCGACACAGTCAGCTCCATCAGGTTTGCTGAGTCGGAGAAGGCGAATGTGCTTAGCTACAGGCAAATGGACTGCACCGCTTTACCCAAGTCTCCACCTTGGCAAGGGCAGCTTGGCTTCTTGTGGCCTTGCATCCCCTTCTGTGGCCTGATTTGCCAATCAGCTTCCATAGTTCGTCGGCCGCACTGAGCGAAGCCTGCACCCGCCCAGACATATTCTCTTGCACGCAGACTCATGCAGAGCATGACGCCCGCGCCAGCAGCAACATGTCTCCAGGAAAGCCACAAAGTCCAGTACTCCGCTCCACCATGCATCCCGCAGTGGCAGTCTCACAGTCGTCAAATCGATTCCATCTTCAAAGTCTCTTCAATCATTCTGTGCAAGATGCCTCGACAACTTGGCGTGAAAGCTCTAGCTTTGGCTGCCTGGCAAAGAGCGCTTGCATGTCATCAGCTGCATGGAAAGACGTCAAAGCCAGGGCTGCGCAAGTCTTCCCAGAACTCGCCGACGAGCTCGATCGTTTGCAGGATGCTCGAAAGGAATGGCTTCTGACTCAGCCATCGCTGCATAGCAGGCATAGACCTTTGCTGCACTTCTCCGACTTGCCACTCGAGTCGGAGGACGCCACAACAGCACTTTTTTTGGATCCCTGCAGAGGTGCGATCGCCCGGAGTGGGAGCTTGAAGATTTGACCTGCATCATGTGGAAGGCTTCGAAGCAGCTCGAGGGAAAACAGTGCCCGCTGCAGCGTACTCGAAGCTTGGCCACACGAGCATCGGGAAGTTGAACTTTGAGAAGCGGTCCTCGGGTTCGCGACAACGGCTGAAAGATTGAACTGCCAACACCACAGGTGTAGGCCGCTCTAGATATCTGCACGCCGGAGCTCCTGCGGCTTCCCCGGCAGTTGGTACTGGAGCTGACCGTACCTGCACAACACGTGTATACGCGCGTCATCTCCTTGTTCTGGCCTCCTTCTGAAGCCCTGAATCCGAAACTGGACGGAGCAGAGCCCCTTGCTGCGCCACTGCTGAGTTCGGCACGAGCATTGCGTGAAAAGGGCCGGCAAAGAGGAAAAGTGCTGACCTCAGCAGCACCGCTCTAGCTACGCTTCACACCTGCAAGCAATCTCCTGACTCTAGTACACCCTGCATAGACTGCATAGTGATCAGTGAACCGTAATTTATACCAGGACATTGCAAGAACCACTTTTGCATTCCGCCGACCCCGGCAAGCTGGCCGGAAGAGTCGCTCCGGCCTTCTTTTTTCCGGGGTCGCTAGTCCTGTCTTTCCTGCATAGTGCAGCTTTTGCAGGTTTCTCCGAACCCTAGACCCCAGCATCCGCAAGCTGGCGGGGGGCGAGCGCCAGTGAAATGCTTTCCCACCCTCTTGCTCCAACCCCCAAAAGCTCGCCTTCTGCGGACAACACACGCCGGTGCTCCATTCAAAATGCGCAAAGTCTGGCGTCTTTGATTCGCAAGTGGGCAGGCCCTGTTGAGCGCATGATTGTGGCCGTCGTGATGGTGACATTCACAGGGCCGGCTTGCGCCAAAAACCTGAAACAACGTGGTAAGCTGATCTTGAATCTTGATCTGGGCCTACAGCCAGGCGATCCCACGAAGACCGCACATCGAAGTTTACGTCGATGTTGCAGACGAAGAATTCGGGCATCAATGATCTCCAGACAAGAAACAGTAGATTCGATAAGCTGATGAACATCCAAAGATTTGGACAAGTGCGTGCTGCGACTCCCACCGTGTCATTGATGAACACGGATACCCAACCTTGCGCAACGAGCTGGATGCTTGCGTGCTTGAGCTGACAGCTCTTCTCTAGTACTCCTGCGCTGTTCATTGAGAGGGTCGCAGATTCTGGTCTGGAGCTCCATGACCACCTGATGTCCAGAACCAGGGAAGCTTATCACCGAGCTTAGACTGTCTGGGTGGTCCAAGGTTTCTGAAAACATCGTGGGCACACCTGCAAAGTGACTGTGCTCCCGCGTCGGCGAAGAGCTGCTTTCGCCATAGCCTTCTTCTTGTCGACCTGGTGCACAGCTTTAACGACATTCACTTGATGCATCGCCTGGTGCAGCCAGCCATCTCTTTTTTTCAGACTGAGCCACTGAAGGGCGACCCCAGGGGGACTTGACTTCTTATGCTGGCATTCCCTTCTGCTGCGAACTAAACAGATAGAGCAGATCCCAGGTTCCACAACATGACACATGTCTCACAGCAACGCTCCGTTTCCTGTCCGAACAGTCTCTATGGGTTGGAGTAACCCCTTTACCCATGCAGGAAGGCATTCCCTGCAGAAGCTAAAGAGGAGGGAACGGGACCGAAGTGAGGATCAAACAAAGGCACGAGGCTTCGACATACAGTGAGAGACGGCGTGCGAAAGGCATGTTAATACCTGGCCTGCCCACGGTGAAACTGAGCAATTCAGTGTGTATGGTCGCAGGCTCGCACCACGTATATTTGCTTGTCTGTTTATGCACTCATCTGCAATATGTCACATATATACATCTATATATATATATATATACACATTATCTTTGTATATGTCTATTTAGGTTTATTCTTTTTTCTGTGCAACCATATGGTCTGCGTTCTGCCTCCCCCCTGCCACTCCGCCCAACGGAGCCGCCCCCCCGCCCCCCCACCCAAATACAGAGGCTCGGAGACTTGGGGGCTACTACCAATGGGAGGGAGCCACATGCAAGGAGGGAGAACCCTGTTCCAAAGGGTGAGGGAGGATATCATATCCCGTACGGGACAGGGACCGCGTATACATGGCTAGGCACGTACATGTACATGTACCGAGGTACACATAACAAACAACTACACGTGTGTGTGTGTGTGTAAATCCCTGAAGCTAAGGGCCATGACCGTTGCATGTTTCAGAAAAGGAAAAGCAGGGGGACCGTCTCGCCAGCATGGTTGACGGTCCAACGAAGAGGGCCATGCTTGTGACTGATATAGATCAAGGACGCTTGATCCACGTACCTGCATGTACAGAGTGAAGCTGATGTCAAGAGTGTGCAGACCTAGCAGGATAGCACGTGCAGAGGGATTGGGGGGAAATAACCCGAACCACAACGGGGGGGGAATAGCCAATCATATGGCAGTAGTACATAGCAGACAAGCTATGCCCCATATACTGTATGCGGAGCATGTGGACCAGTCCCCGATTTACTGCAAAGGAGGGGGAGAGCCGAACCACAGATTTATGAGGTCCCATCGCTTTACTGTACACGTTCGGCGAAACGTTAATGTGACATCGGTCGGTGTACTCTTGTGACATCGAGTAGTGAAGTACTTGATCGTCATAGTGATATTGGTTGGTCATAGTAGTAATCGTAGCAAAAGTAGTGAGAGCAACAGTAACAGTGATTCCGTCAGATTGGGCAGTGGCTTACGGCACGATCTGGTTGGTATCGACGGTATCGATTGGGTATCGATAAGGGTATCGAGTAGAGTATCGACTGCCTAGCCACATACATATTTTCACACGGAAGCTTAGGCAGAAATGCGGTTGATTGTTTTGCTCTTGTAGGGGGTGCGTTTTTGGCTTTTGCAGGGTGTTCAGTGTTGGCCAAATCCAGCATTCCAAAGTCACCCTACCCTGAAGGACCTTTACGGAAGTTGTGAGGGAGGCTCATATGACTTACATGCGTGTATCGTTTCTGAATCAACAAACATACAAGGCCATCGACCCGCCACAAGACTTGCCATCAAAAGATAGGGCACGCTCATAATATGAGAAGCGACTGAAACAACATACTGCTCGGCACCCAGCTACATGGTCCAGGCGGCCATCCGGGCTTTGCTGCATCAGTCGCGGATCCGCAGTCGCCTCCCCAAAAGGAGAACGCAAACATCATCTACAGTCAGTGCCATGCTCCGCGATAAAGGGAACGGACCAGTTTGGATAGGGAGTCTGCCATGCTTATCTATTCCATTGCAGGGGCCATCTGTGGCCCAGATTGACTTCCTAGCACCGACGGGCAGTAATCATATCCTTGCATGTGGGTGGGTCGACCACGTCCCGATGGCATGCAGCTGACACGAGGGCCATGTCTGCCAAGCAAAGGCCTCCAGATCGAAACAGTTGAAGCGGTAGAAATCTCCTCCTGCTTCATCGAGCAGTCCCACCCATGACCTCGCCATGTGCAATGCAACCCTTGTGGATGGTGACGCGCTTGGCCTTGCTTCAAGGACGGGGATGCGGCTGCTCGCGCTTTGTCTGGCCGTTCACATCCGAGGAGTGGTGAATCACCTTGGCGCGAGGAATTGTTTCCCGAGCCAAGCTGGAACATGTCCCAGCATGCTGAGGGCATCGACCCAAGAGAACTGCTGCGACCTTGATCGGGATGCTTTGGTCGGGTTTGTGGATTGCCCTGAAGCCACACGACACGAGGCTGCCACGCATGCTGCTCGTAACAAGGCCGCCAACATGCCCAGCATCCTTGGCCTTCAATCGCTTTTGCCGCAGTAAATTCATGCCGCTGTTCCTTTCGCTATCGGGCCTGCTGGCACACCCGCCTGCCAGGTATGCTGAAAGGAACAAATACCAGGTCACACGGATCCCCCGTGTGCGCCGCTTGCCTTCGCAGCAGCATCTGGCACAGATGCGCGAATTTGGACAGACGCGAACTTCTCCGCAGCCACCTGCAGAAGGAAGGAAGACGTGGTCATGGTCAGCGTTCCAAGTTTCATGGCACAGGGCACAGATGAATTGCAGACTTCTGAGAAAGCGTCTCTGGCGGTGTAGGACGGAGGCTTTGGCTTCGCTTTGCCAGCCTCTTCGCTGCAAGAAGCTCATTTCGAGTGCTTCCCAAACCAGGTGATGGGCCAACAAACCTGCCCCGGCCGCCTCCGAAGCTTCGGCTGCTGCACGCGCTGCGACGTCTTGCGACTGAACAAGCCCTGCACGCCGAGACACAGCCGGTCACAGTTACAGGACATCTTAGGCGGAGTGCCTAGACGCAAGGATGGATGAGGTGCCACATACCGAGGTGCATGATGCACGGAACAAAGCATAGCACCGGTGTAGTCCGAGGTGACCTCAGCAGTACAATTGGGCAGCCGATCCATACGCGACAGTTCTGTGGCCCTGGCGGCAAGCCTGGCACGCACTGCTGGAAACATCGTAAAGTTCCTCCCGCTGACCTTCGTTCCAGGCCTGGCGAAATGATCGCTGCTGGCGACTTGAACGGACCAGTGAATAGAAGTACACCTGAAGCCGTTCTGAGGTCCAGGCAGCCGATCTTTCCTTGCTAAGTTGGTTCAGGTGTAACATCTAAGCCACTTTCAGCATTTACACTCTAGAGGAAACTGAAGGCCAACTCATGGCCAGTTTCGGTATCAGGTCCAGTACGTAGCCCTTGTCTTCGTGGATGCAAGCCGCCACGGTCATCTTGCAGAGATCAAGATGTTTTGGCCAAGCTGCGGCAACAAGGGAGCAAGAAAGCAGGCAGGCAGCGCCGTGTACACATTGTCCCCTGAAGACAGGATGGGATCTGGAGCATCTGCGTCTGCGTACCTTGCAATCGGGGACTTCCGAGCACTGGCTGCGAGCCGTATGCATCGCTCGCCTGGACACGACCTTCTCGACGCCTGGTGAGGACTTCCACGCCTGAGCGGCGACGGTGCCAACTGAGTTATCACGCTTCTGATGTACTGGCAAGTAATCTCGTCATGCCACGTTGATCAGTACGCCGCTCGCTGTTTCTGTCAGTATTACGAGACTATGCAGTGAATTTGCCACTGCTAAGGTTGTACTCAGAACACGGCTGTTAGACAACTGCCGTTAAGGCCATTGCCAACATAAGTGGGCTTTCAACTGATGCGACATGCCATTCTTGAAGTCCACGCTGAATCAAAGAAGCGATGCTGTCAAGTCTAGACCTGACCGCGCAGGAGAGCCCTGGTGGCGCAAAGCTCGTGCTGGCTACCATCTCTCGGAGCCTCTCAAGGAGTCCCTGACCCTACGAAGTCTGTGACACCATACTTCGACGTGCGCACGTTGTCGGTGCTAGTGCAGTGCGCGGGGAAACCAGATTTCTGCCGCTTGGCCACTTGCGCCTCTTGAACCTCCCGAGCTATCGCGTCTTGCCCCCACTTGTGCCACTCGACCTCGCCATTTGACGCCACTTGTGGCACTTGTGCCACTTGTGGTCCGTGAGGCCTTCAGTAGTACAATCAGCAGTATTGCAACAATGCTACAAGTAATACTAGTAACAGTGCAATGGTACCCTAGACTTTGAACCCCTACACCCTAAGCCCCTAAAACCCTAAACCCTAAAAACCTAATTCTCTAGATCCCTACACCCTAAAACCCGAAACCCCAAAACGTGGCAGTAGCAGCAGCAGTAGTGGCAGTAGATGCGTAGTACTGGTACTAGCACTTACCCCAGAAGCAGCAGCTGTACTAGTAGCCCTAAATCCCAAGCCGATAAAACCCTAAACCCTAAACACCTTAAGCCCTAAACCCCAGAGCCCTAAACCCTGAACCCGAAAACGCGAAACCCTAAACCCCAAACCGTGGCAGTAGCTGTGGCAGTACTTGCAATAGTTGAGTCGGGGTACTAGTAGCCTCAGCACTTCTATAACTGCTCAGCATTGTTGTTCTTTCGGTGGTTGTGGCAACGTCATCGTCATCAACACAATCACGAAAAACGATGGAATAAAACAGTGAAGGGACATCACTTGTGTCTTTCTGATGGTGGTACCTTTGTTTTTGGTATCACTTGTATCCTTCATATTGCTTGGGACTAAGGGTCTCGAACGAGCCCGCTGGCATGACCACAAAACATAGACACAAGTGAATTGATACCAGGCTGTCTGGTCCTCTGATTTGTGGCAACCACCGAAAAGCGTACCCATCGAGGGTGTCTTAGGTGGGGGTCACGGGCGGGGTCATCGGAATAGTTCATAAACTTTTCCGAGGGGGATGTTACTAGCCCAGATGCGGGGGGACGGGTCCGCAACCAGGGTCCGGACGCAACTTGGTGGGCCCGGTGCAGTGGGGTTAAATGTATGTTTGACATCTTTGCTACTGAATTTTGAGTGCGCTGCATCTGCATTCGGGTGTATTTGTGTCTGTGTGTCGTTTGCTCTAGAATTTCGGAGTTGCTACCCCGGTGTCCACAATGGGAGGGTTTTGCCCCTAACCCTAAATGCCGAAACCCGAAACCCAGAAACCCAGAACTCAGAAACCCTAAACCCCTAAACCCCATAAACTCTGAACCCCCAACTACCCAGAAACCCTAAACCCAGAAACCCGAAGCCCCAAAGCCCAGAAACCCTAAAACCCGAAGCCCAGAAACTCAAAATCCAAAAACCCTAGGCCCCCAAACCCAGAAATCCTAAACCCCTGAATCCATTAAACCCTGAACCTAGAAACTCAAAGCCCGCAAACCCTAAACCCAGAAACCCTGAAACTAGAAACCCTATATCCAGAAACCCGACACCCACGAACCTGAAACCCTAAGTCCATTAAATCCTCAACCTAGATACTCTATGCGCTGAAACCCTAAATCCAGAAACCCTGAACCTAGAAACCCTACGTCCAGAAGAAACCCTAAAACAGAAACCCTAAACACTTAAATACACTAACCATGAAACTAGAAACCCTAAATCCATAAACCTCGAACCCTACACCCTGAAACCCCAAACACATAAATCCATTAAACCCTGAATCTAGAAACTCTAAGCCCAGAAACCCTAAACCCAGAAACCCTGAACCCAGAAACCCTGAACCTAGAAATCCTGAACTTAGAAACTCTAAATCCTGAAACCCTAAACCTGTAAACCCTGACCCTACAAACCCTGGAACTAGACCCTGAACCCGTAAACCCTAATCCTCGAGACCCTGAACCTAGACACCCTGAATGCAGAAACCCTAAAACCACAAACCCTTAACCTGTAAACCCTGAACAGGCAAACCCTGAACCTAGAAACCCTCGAAGAAACCCTGAACCCGTAAACCCTGAACCTACAAGCCCAGAACCTTGAAACCCTAAATCCAAAAAACCCAAAACCAGCAACCCCAAACTAAGTTTCTATATCCATTAAACACTGAACCTACAATCTTTAAGCACGCAAACCCTTAACCCGTACACTCTGAACCTAGAAACCCTAATTTCAGAAACCGTAAACCCGCAAACCCCTGAACCTAGACACCCTAGAAACCCTAAACCCAGAAAACCTTAACCCGTAAACCCTGAACCTAGAAACCCTGAACCCATGATGCAGAAACCCTAAACCCAGACACCCTGAACCTCGAAACCCTGAACCTAGAAACCCTAAACCCAGAAACCCTCAACCTAGAAACCCTGAACCCAGAAACCCTAAACCCAGAAACCCGTAAACCCTGAACGCCGAAACCCTGAACCTAGAAACCCTAAATCCAGAAACCCTACTCCCGTAATCCCTGAACCTAGAAACCCTAAACCAAGAAACCCTAAACCCGTAAACCCTGAACCTCGAAACCCTGAACCTGAAAAACCCTTAACCCAGAAACTCTAAACCCGAAAACCCTGAACCTCGAAACCCTGAACCCAGAAACCCTAATCCAAAAACCCCAATCCCTGAACCTTCAAAGCCTAAACCCGGAAACACTGCAAACGCTGAACCTCGAAACCCTGAACCTAGAAACCCTAAACACGTAAACCCTCAACCTCGAAACCCTGAACCTTCAAACGCTAAACCCAGAAACACCGTAAACGCTGAACCCCGAAACCTTTAGCCTAGAAACCCTAAACCCAGAAACCCTAAACCCGCAAACCCTGAACCTCGAAACCCTGAACCTAGAAACCCTAATCTGAAAACGCCAATCCCTGAACCTTCAAGCCCTAACTAAACCCGGAAACACCGCAAACGCTGAACCTCGAAACCCTGAACCTAGAAACCCTAAACCCAGAAACCCTAAACCCGTAAACCCTGAACCTCAAAACCCTGAACCTAGAAACCCGAAACCAAGAAACCCTAAACCCGCAAACCCTCACCCCCGAAACCCTAAATCCAGAAACCCAAAACACAGAAACCCCAATCTAAGGTTCTATCCTAGACCCAGAAACCCTGAACCTGAAAACCCTGAACCTAGAAACCCTAAATCCAGAAACCCGTAACCCCTCAACCTAAAAACCCCAAACCCAGAAACCCCAAGCCCGTAAACCCTAAACCTAGAAATCCTGAACCTAGAAACCCTAAGCCCAGAAACCCTAAACACCCCTGATACTCGAAATCCTAAACCCAGAAACCCTAAACCCGTAAACCCTGAACCTCGAAACCCTGAACCTAGAAACCCTAAACCAAGAAACCCTAAACCCTGTAAACCCTGAACATCGAAACCCTGCACCTAGAAACCCTAAACCCAGAAACCCTAAACCCGCAAACCCTGAACCTCGAAACCCGGAACCTAGAAACCCTAATCCAAAAACCCCAATCCCTGAACCTTCAAACCCTAAACCCGGAAACACCGCAAACGCTGAACCTCGAAACCCTGAACCTAGAAACCCTAAAGCCAGAAACCCTAAACACGTAAACCCTGAACCTCGAAACCCTTAGCCTAGAAACTCAGAAACCCTAAACCCGTAAACGCTGAACCTCGAAACCCTGAACCCAGAAACCCTAAACCAAGAAACCCTAAACCCAGAAACCCTAAACCCATAAACCCTAAACCTACAAACCTGGACCTCGAAACCCAGAAACCCTAAACCCGTAAACCCTGATCCTCGAAACCCTGAACCCAAAAACCCTTAACCCAGAAACCCGAAACACGTAAACACTCAACCTCGAAACCCTGAACCTTCAAACCCTAAACCCAGAAACACCGTAAACGCTGAACCTCGAAACCTTTAGCCTAGAAACGCTAAACCCAGAAACGCTAAACCCGTAAACCCTGAACCTCAAAACCCTGAACCTAGAAACCCTAAACCAAGAAACCCTAAACCCAGAAACCCTAAACCCATAAACCCTAAACCTAGAAACCCTGGACCTCGAAACCCAGAAACCCTAAACCCGTAAACGCTGAACCTCGAAACCCTGAACCCAGAAACCCT